ACCGCCAGCGAGGAGGAAACAAAAATCGGCCCAGACAATTTAATTTCCCCAATACAAATTTGGGCACGAATTTGTCCGATGATGCCAAGTGAGCCCCCGTTAGCCGCATAGAATGGTACGTTAACAGGCATCAAAGGACGGCTCCGGACAGGGAGAATATTGTAAATTAACTCCGAAATAATGGTCGCCGATGCTCCCGTATCGACCAGGATGCGCACTTCAACCCCGTCGATGTGCCCCACAACGGCCGACGACCCCGACGATGCGGCTACCACACGATCGGCCAGCACGGACCACTGGCCGGGTTCGATATGAGTACCCGGAGTGGTGCGTGATGGTGCGATGGTGCGCGATATCGGCCCCCCTCTCGTTGCGGTGTTTGAGTGCGTGACGGGCGTGTGCGTGGGCCAAACATGTGGGGTGCCGCGACTCGCCGGGTTATGATGGTGGAGCTTGTGATGAGGCCCGTCGTCCCGTTGAGGTGTCGTCCCGCGCTGTCGAGGAGCGCGGCACCCCGAGGCGACGTGGCACCAGACGCCGCAGTTGAAACACCGCGGGAGCGCCGTCGGAGGAGACGGACGGTTGAAACGGCCCGGCCCGTCCCGGCCCGACCGTGCTCCTGTCGCCTGTTGCGGTCGGTGGTCGACGGCGTAGAGCTCCTCCGTCGGAAGGGTGGCTGCAGCCACCGCACGCCCCGCCGATGCCCTGCTGGCTTTCCGCCGCAGTGACAGGAGGTTGGCGTGGAGGAGCCGCGCCGCCTGGAGCGATGTCATCTCCGCGTCCTCCTGTGCGACGACCGCGATGTCAAGGTCGTCTGCCAGGAGGAGGATTTTCTCCGTGACCATTGCGTCCACGCCGTCGTCGTCCATACGAGGGAAGGCCGACTTAGCCATCGCCAGGAGGCTCGTCCGGTATGCTAGGGGCGACTCCTTTTCACCCCGCCTGCGATCGTAAAATTGCTGTCGGCATTCAGCCGATGGTCCATAGACCCCGCCCAGCAGCTGTAGCGCCATCGGAAGCGTAGACCGCTTCTCCCTCGGCGCCGATGTGAGGGCGGCGAGCGCGTCGCCGTCGAGGAGCGCCGGCAGCACGCAGAGAGCCTCCTCATCCGACCATTTTGCCATTTCCTGATGGGCGAGGAAACGTCGTCGAAAGCCGGCCCAGTCTCCCTCCGCGCCGATGAACTCCTTCAGCGGGGGCAGTCTCTGATGTAGCGCAGCGGTTGTTGTAGACTCCTGCAGGTTGTTGTCACCACCACTCGGCTGTGCATCGGTGCGAACGGCCGATGGGATCGCCTGTCGCGGTTGTGATGACGCACCCTCCGGCGGTGATGACGCTGCAGCTCCAGCGATGCCGATGTCGGAGCGGATGTTCAGGCTGGCCACGCCCTGAACAGCTGTAGCGTCGATGGCGGGAAATTCAAATTCCGACTGTTCCGAAATGGCGGGAAGGCGCCCTGGTCGTTGGCTCGCCTCGCCCCGTGGTGGATCACCGGCCCCCAATCGCGTGATGGTCTCCAGCGTGGCGGCAGCGGCATACAGCAGCTCCGCCAGCCTCCCGTGAGCCAGCCGTAACGCGTCTGGCTGCGGCCCCTCTTCATTTCGATGCCCCGGTAAGAAGGCGTCAGGCCCCGGCTGCACCATGTCTTGTGGAGCCGTCTCGGGCTCGACGATCTCGGCAGTGTCTTCCTCCTGCGGTACTTTGGCCCGAGCTGTTTTCCGCGTGTCCATGTTCGTATTACTTCTGACTCCAGTTGAAGTACCGGTGAGGACGCTTGACACCGAGGTTGAGGCACACGTATATTTATTTCACAATACGACAGTGGGCATATAACACTCGAGGGGGTATCGGCCCCCTCACCCGTATAACTCGGGATACACCCCTAGCTAACTCTGTCCTAGCCCCGAGTCCTCCACTAATGGGCTAGGGGAGGCTATCTGGCCCGACACTGGTAAGTCGGGCCCGGTACCCGGAGTTCCAGACCAGCTCTTACAAGAGCACCGGCTCTGGCTTTCGGGACCACGCCGCTGGCTCAGTCCTGTCCGGCCCTGAAAAGGACATCGAACTAGGGGAGTCCAGGGCTCTATCTAAGACGTCTTCAGTCTTCTTCCTTTAGCTTAAAACATAACTCCCGAGCCCTTTGAAACATCCCCTTTTATACCCAACCCCTCCCTAAGGGGTGGGGCCCCGGGGGATCATAACGTTCGAACCAGCCCCCCCCAGGGTGTCTGGCTCGGACGTCGTAGAGGGCACCTCCTCGTGCACTTACGTAGCCCCGCCCACTGTGTTTGTTTTCCATAGGCTGCCATGCATAACGGGCCCTCTCTTTAACACCCCTACACATGGTTAATAACATCTTTCCAATGATTACTCAGTTTGTACCCATCATCACGGTTGAAATTATGTCTGTGTTTGTATATTTGGATGGCTTTGTGTACAAACCTTTGATGGTAGCCAGGAGGTTTGCAGAGTACCTTGGTCTCGGAAAAGACAATCTCATGAGAGCCCACAGCGTTGTAGCAATGATCGGCAACGGCGGAAGAATCAGTTTTGCCGTGTTTCATATCTGACTTGTGCTCGCGGACACGATCAGAGATATGACGTTTCGTTTCTCCAATGTAACAATCACCACAGCTGCAACTCAGTTTGTAGACTCCAGGCTATTGTAAGTCAGGAATGACATCTTTCACAGATGGAATTAGATCACGGATTTTATGTACTGTACTGAATCGGACTTGGATCTTATGTTTGTTTAGAATTTTGGAGATCTTTTTGGTCACGCCTGCTATGTATGGCAACGTGATAGTTTTGATCTGAGTTTCAAGTGGCTGTTTCTGTATGGTGGGAGAAACAGCTTGGCGGATGGTGCGGTCAGAGTATCCATTCATCCTGAGTGCCCGATGTACATGTCTTAAATCACTGGCCAGGTGGTGTTGGTCAGAAATGCCATGAGCTCTGTGGTATAGCGTTTTGATGAGAGAATTATTTTGAGATGGGTGGTGGTGGGAATCAGGTTTCAAGTAGGAATCTGTGTGGGTGGCTTTCCTGTAGACAGAATGTCCCAAGGATCCGTCAGGTCTCCTCTCAAACAGAATATATAAGAATGGTAGTTTGCCATCTTTCTCCACTTCCATGGTGAATCTGATGGATGGGTGTCTGGAATTGATGTGGTCCAAGAAGTGGTTCAATGCTGGGAGGCCATGTGGCCCTCACAGTTGGCCATATTTGCGGAATACACCACGCCGCCGTTGACCCTGGCCATTGACCTAGCAACCCATCGTTTCTACCAGCTCCCTCCGCAGGAATGTGTTAGTTTTCAGGCCCATAGGTGTACAGCCGTTTCAATACGGACACATTTTTTTTGTCTGTTTGTGTTTCCCCCTTGTGATAGGACTTTGTAGAATTAACATTGCGATTTATAAGGGGCACGGGGTGACCAATAAAGTCTGAATTGGTCTGTAATAAGGTAGGCACTGACAAAGGGATGACAGGTGTGTTTGTGTCGTAACCGTCTACCACCCGACACAGCCAGTAAGGTTTGCCACGTAATCAAAAAACATGCCAATTACAATTTAAGTACTCAAATTGTAATTTGTGTACTAAAATTGTAAATGTTGTGAATTTACTCTCAAACACACTGGTGGGCTAAAGTATTAACTATTTGGCGAGTTTTCTTGTTCACGTGACAAACTTTACTGGTTGTTGATGGCTACGGCACACGCGATCTAACCCCAAAAAAAACATTTATTTTGAATATTACGTGCCTATAATCATTGGACTAGAAATAACCTGGACCGTCGTCTTTTCATTTGCATTTCTCTTGTTAAATAACAGCTTTGGCGAATAGAAGCTTCCTTTTCAGCTGTGACAACTAAAGCGAGTTTAAATTTTGATTCTTTCGGTAAAGTCACTTAGGTAGAAAATCAAATCAAATAGATCACGGCACAACACAAGCGTCCACCTGATGACGGATGCTTGTTTTGCGCCCGAAACGTCGTGATCTGTTTAATTTTATTTTATACCTACGTGACTTTACCGAAAGAACCAAATAATACAAAGCGAGTTTGTTGGAAATGATTGGAAGCACAGAGCCGAGCATTGGGTGATTGGGGGTTTTTGGGCGACGAGACCTCATCTTGATCCGTAGGCAGCACAATAAAAAAATTTGAAGAGACGACGACCTCTGTTGGTGTGATTGTGATCTGAATCATTAAAAAGATGCCAAGCGACACCGTCTCCCCGACAAACTTCACTGCCCTTTGACAACATCGACAACGCAGAGGCGGCGTTCGCCGGCCGGTGAACGAAACGGTAACGAGGATGGAAGTTGTTGTAATATGTGACAACAACAACAAGAAATTTCACTCCAAAGTTTGTACTGCAGCATTATCTTAAATGTGTGGGGTGGGTGGTGAATAGCAAGGCCACCACTCCGTTGCGTAACTAAGCTGTGGGATGGCGTTAATCCAGAGTAGCTTCGTTATAAAATAACCATCGCCTTCGTGATTTATCTTTTTTGTGTTTGACAGCGAGGGACAAGAGTTTTAGACATTTTAGAAATTGACAACTCAAGTGGCGTTTGCGTGACGGCGGCGGTGTTTTGTTAAGTAATTTGTGTGTGGGGTGATGTTACAAAGTCGGAGCTTCTTTTTTGATTTAAAGCTTTCGTGACTGCAGGGATTCATCTTCTTGGTTCTTTCGGTAAAGTCACGTAGAAGACAAAATAATAAAATAATAATAAAACTGAATAAAATACAATTATCACAAAGATAATTGTTTTTTATGTTTTATTTTTATGAATAAAAATATTTTTTATTATGTTTTATTTTTATTAATTCTCACAAAGAAAATTTAATTTTATTATGTTTTATTTTAATTAATAAAAAATAAAACATAATAAAATACAATTCTCTTTGTGAGAAATATATTTTATTATGTTTTATTTTTTAATAATAATAAAAAATAAAAACATAATAAAATACAATTCTCACAAAAATAATTGTATTTTATTACGTTTTATTTTTTATTATTTTATTATTTCCCTTCTACGTGACTTTACCGAAAGAACCAACGGAAGAACAAAGTGGGAGTTGTTTGACGCCACTGCATGGAGAAGCCGCACGGTCACAGCCCGCAACCCAAGCGTGTAAATGTTCGCTTTGGTTTATAAATATCATTACACACTCTCACACACAACACAACACACAACTCTCTCTTTCGTTGCGTGGTGTACCAGCCGGACGACGAGTGTGCTCTTGTTAAAAGGTGAACGTTGTGTAAATAAGCCGTAGAATGAGATGCGGGGTTTAAAGTCCGCACGGGCACTGCGGTAATTCCGTACTGTACACGGGCTGGTCCAGATGTCTTGTGACCCCCCCCCCCCCCCGTTAAACTTAATATATTTCTTTTTTTAAAGTAGGGTTTATTTAAAATATGTATTATTAATAAGAAGAGGGGTGGAAATTTTTAGGGGCGTCAATTCATTGTGGGGGGGGGGGGGGGTCACAAGACATGTGGACCACGCTCTTGTAAGCTGTACTGTATAGTAAACATTGGTTACATTGGTTACTGTTGTAGCGTTGCATGCGCTTGTAATGTCACACAGATATACTTGTGCGAGTAATAATGTATTATTCTTCTTGTCGACCCATTGCTGGATGAGGGCCTCCGCACGCTGCGTCGGTCATGAGCGGTGGTGATGGTGGTGGTGCTGGGGGGGGGGTTTGACCATACTTCACCACGCCGGTCATCGATTCGGACATCGATGTCAGTGAGTTGACGGATACTGCACTGCTAATGAGTTCGCATACCGTGAAGAACCCGTACGGTCTAACCCCCCGTAGTCTTGTACATGCAAATTTAGTTTTTGCAATCATTTCAATGCGGGCACAAAATAATGTAAAATTGCGTCTTGTGTTGTGTGTTTCACCCCTTGTGATGCAGGATGCACGTTGAGATGTATAAGGGACACGGAGGAGGGGGGGGAGGTGTTGACCAATAAAGGTATGTAATTAATAAGATTGGCTAACTGATGAGTGATTGACAGGTTTAGGATTCCGTGAAGCGTGCCGCGTGCGGGGAGCGGTGGCGCAGTGGTTAGCGCACCCAAAGCAGTGTCGATTTATCTGTGGACTTGGCCTTGAAATTCATAGTACCCCCCGTGCGGTGTGTAAGCAATCGGCATATAGGGGGAGACAAAGGCGGGCCGGTGCGTGGTGCTGGCCACACCAACCCATGTAATTGAGTGGGGTGTTGTTATTAATCATGGCTCGGGTAGATACATGCAATTTACCAAGCTAGACTTCGAAATAAGAAGGCCAAAATGCGTAGGTGCTGGGCGATAACGTGTGTCCTTGTTTGTAAAGCAGCGTTTGTTTTTTTTGTACGAGACAGAACTTTTGTCAATTCATCATCTCTGGATGAGGACCCCTCCCTGTCCTCCCCAATGAAGGTCGTGGGGGCCCTCTTTGGCGTACAGCGCTTCACTAGGCAAGGTCGTTCTTTCTTTTCTGGTGACAAGAGTGGACTTGGCACCATACAAAGACAGGACAATGGATTCTGCTGCACTGCGGCTCAGCTTCCTGCATGGAGGCCCCCTGCAGCAGTCGATTTAACATCCGCTTTGTTGAACGATGATGGTTCTAGTCCATACAAAGCACCCGTCCAGGGCCGCTTCGCTTCCTTCCCCATCACTTGACGTCGTCGTGCCCATATGTACGATGAGAAAAGAGACGCATTATTACAATCTTTACGCTTGTTAACTTGGAAAGTCTCACTGAATCTCGAGTCTCTTTCAAGAGGGTCCTGCCAAGTTTTCCAGGCGGGGGAGATGCTGCTGTGTGTAATCCAAATTGAGTACAGCATTGTACTCAATTGGAGTAATTCAATTGTATGTTTTTTTGGTGGTTGGGGTGAGATCTGATAACCCGGAGGCAACACGTGTACAAAGGTGTTAGAACGTACACGCTTCTTCCGATACAGGGTATCTGTGTCAACCTTTCTTGCATATACTTTGTATGGAGTTCTCTGAGCAATATCATCTGGTGATACAGCAACATTTACCAAGTCTGCCTGCGATTATTACAGTATCATCACGACACATGGGGCAGATAGCCCTTAGGTGCCCACTGTACATTTCGTAATTTCTTTCCACTCTCCACTGTCTTGTGCCATTATTCTCAAGTCGTGCCACATCTTTCTGGCACCAATTTATTTACGTCGTTGTCAAGCCATTGTCTGTTATGTATTTCTCTTTTTACGGTTCCTTCCATTTTTATGAACAACATACTTTTAATTTTCATGTTGTCCGTCTTAAATGTGTCAAATAGTGCCACTTTCCTTCTCATCACTGCCTACATCAGGTTGTCTTCTGTGTGTAACCTTTTTATTACTTCTACGTTGTTCACTCTGTGGGTCTAGTTTAGATGCAGTATCCTATAGCAATATATTTCTATTGCCAATATATCTCTATTAGTCTTTTTCAATGTCCAAGTCTCGCAGGCATACAAAGCTGTACTGAATACGTATGTTCTGAAGATCTTCACTTTGATCTTGTAGCTGATTTGCTTGTTTCTCTCTCTGTTATTGAGTACTGCCATTACTCCTTTTGCCGTTGGGATCCTCGCTCATATGTCTTCCGTTCAGTCATTGACCCATGTCAGTAGACTTCTCAAGTATACAAATTCCTTTACATTCATAAATTTGCTGCCTTCTAGTATTACTTCCTTCTCAATCGCCTCCCTTCCAAACACCATCGTCTTTTCCACATTAATCCTAATTCCTGCATCCTTTCCTAATTTATTCAGCATATGAACACTTTCCATCAGTACTACGCAGCTTTCTTCCAATCAACCAAATTTGTCATCCGCGAATCTCAGGTTTTTTTTTACAGTATACCTAGAATATTTAAAGCAGTGTAGAGTTTACTTTAACGAATGCTGCTTGATAATATTGGTCTGGGAAACTATTAGGCTGATGGACAAAAAATATGGGGTTATTTATTTATATTTAGAGACGTGGAACAGTTTTTTTCTTATACTGTATTTGCTTGTGACAAGATGGGGTGCATTCCAGGTAATTTGGCCCAAGGCATTTCCTCATATGTCAGGTAAAGCCATGGACGTCATGGGTCATCAGCTTATTTATGCTGATAGCATGGCCCCAAAAACACATCGTTCCTACACTTATGAGTCTTAATTTCACCTTTTTTATGCCCGAAATCATAAAAAAATCTATTTCCATCAACACAAGAATCGGGTCCTATGAATGTTGCATGTATCAGGCTATTAACAACTGATATATACCTAACATGATTTGTCAATCTACTGCTGGAAGAGGGCCTTGCCACACAATCCAGATCGTGGAGTGTTTATGTATACTTCTTTGCCATTATATATTTTTAAAGCAGGTGTCTTAAACTAAACTGATGTGGCATTTGCTGTCTATTGTTTATTGCGTTGCTGGGTGTGATTATTTATCTGTGTTTAAACGCAGTTGCTGGAGTGCCATGAAGCCGGTTTTCTCAGGGTGTGGCCACTTTCAGAAGTAATGGTATCTCCCCGGCAACCCGCTGATGGGCCCTCTGTGTTGGCAACACCGATGGACTCTGGTCACCTGCATGTTTACTAATTGCAGAGGAACTCTTGCCTACATAGCTTCACAACTCAGAAAGGTAAGCGTTTATCATATCACAATGTACCTCCACTTGTATGTTTTAATGCATTATTTCAGATTATTGCAAAACTACGTGTGCCTGGTGAGCTGAGTTAGATTCCCGGCCATGAGATATGAAGGAAAGATGTAAAATGTTAGGCCGAGACGACCATCCCTGCATATTCGTGGGCAGAAAAGCATTGTTGGGTAATATTTTCCCTAACCTGAAACGCTTAACCCGAAATCCTAACCCTAATCCTATTGTCTAACCCTACGTGAAAGCTGACGAAGCATTTTCCATTTATATTTTATCAACTTAAAACAGAGGAATTGAAAAGGACCACTAATGGGTAAGCGCAAACCAATGATAGTGTGATTGGATGAATATCTGGCATGTCATTAGATCGAAATATCAGTCGTGTCAGAAACTCACTTTCCTCACATATGCAGCAACAGTAATCACTTCTAAACATATATGAAATATATGAAACACTTTATATGTGCGTTGATGTTGGCAAGTAGTGTAGACTTAATGTTCCTTCTAAAAGGAAAGCCGTATATGTTAATATTTGCAGTGCTTGCTTTTTCTTTTTACATTTGCCCACTAACGGTTGGCACTCAATTTCAGAACTGAGGCGAGGATTCAAGTAAAAAAACGACAGTGAGTTGGCATCTCTTCCTCCGTGGGAAAACTAGCAAGTCCTCGGTCACGATGGCCACCGTAATCGGGGAACAGATTGGCCGTGCCTACATCAACTTGGCTCGCCTGCCGAGCGTGCTGGCAGCGCTAGCCAACCGCCCACTGTCCTCGTCACCTTCGTCTCCCACCATCTCGTCAGTGTGCCGCACTTTCCGAGAAGTGCCCGTCGTCTTCCACGAGAAGTACATCACGTCTGGCTACCGGCCACCGGGCCAGCCGTGGCGCTTCTACGCACTGAGCCTTTTTGCTCGGCACAACGAGATCGCCAACGTGTGGACGCATCTCTTGGGCACGCTCCTTGTGCTGGCCCGCGTTGGCAAGATCCCTGAGTTGGCCGCCACCCGCGCAGACATCGCGTCGTGGCCTTTCTTTCTCTTGGCACTTTCTGGAGCAGCCTACATGGCGCTGAGCACGGTGGCGCACCTCTTCCATTCGCGCTCCGAGTTGGCGCACTACGGCTTCTTCTTCCTCGACTACGTGGGCGTGGCGCTGTACCAGTATGGCAGTGCTGTAGGACACTACTTCTACTGCGCTGGACCCGGTGGCTTTGCGTTCCTCCGCGACGATGTCTACCTGCCAACTACCTGGATGCTCGCGTGGCTCTCCTGTGCTGGGTGTTGCTTCGCCAACCTGTGCTTCCGAATTCCCCACTCACTCGGGCGCAAGCTTTTTAAGGTGTTTCTTTGTAGGTTTTTGCAATTGTGCTGTAGATGTGTTTTTGGGTTGTACCGCATGTTCTTTGGCATGGTATTTCACTCTCAATTGCAGGGAGAGCTACTTCAGAAACTTTTCAATTCAGTTCCTTTTCAATTCAGTTCCTGAAGAAGCTCCCAGCACATGGAGAGAATATACCGAAAAACATATGGCACAACCCGAAAACACATGGGAGATCTTTTACGTGTTAGTGGAGTTTGATCCTAGATGTGCAGTTTACATATTGTTATTAAAGCTTCGCATATACAGCGAGTGTAATAGCTGCAACCACCATCGCCAATCATTCCACAACTAATCACGTGTAATTAGTTAATCATGTTAAGTGTGGTCATGGAGCCCATAGTACTAGAGCATTAACAAATATTTATGGATATAGTTACACTATTTTGTTCAACAACATTGTGTTTATAACGATATTTAAAAACAATGGAGAATGAGAATGGCGATGGTGTTTTTCTCTATGGTGTGCGCAGGTGCTACCGTGTGCTATGGCGTATGTGGTGGTCATCTCGCCCATCGCTTACCGTCTCGTCACATCAAGCCCAAACCACGATCCAGCATTCCTCTTCCACGTAGCTCAGGTGCAAGCTCAGGGCATCATCACATGAGCCTTCCACTTCTCCTTCATCAGCACCATCACCGTCACAGATTATCATCATCACCGTCATTGTGTGTGTGTATTCTAAGGTGTGGAGAGTAGTAGAGATGTGGCACGGTGGTTAGCGCAGGGGTCAGTAACCAAATAACAAGATAATATTTTTTTTAAATTCGGTACAAAATTAAATATTTCAAGAGCCGCAATGCATGTGAATACGTACATACATTACGTAACGAAACAGTCTGTAAAGCACCACATGCGGCTCCGTAGCTGCAGGTTGCCGATCCCTGGGTTAGCGCAACACTACACTACGAACCTTGTAACCCTTGGTTCAATTCCCAGCCACGGCTTAACATCAGTGGCAAATGCATCCGGACCAGCCTGAGCCTACCAAAAGTCGACCCAGTCTTAAATGAGCACCTGGTGTAGCGTATAAACATCAGCACTAGGGAGACAGATGGGCAGGCATGGTACTGGTGGCCAAAACCACCTCCTCTTGTACCATACAGACATTAATGAATATGTGCTTGCTAACAGCAATTGGCGTTGCAGGCTATGAATGCTATACGCAGCAGGGGATCTTTGTCTTTTGTGTCCCTAGGTGGCCTTCTTTCTGCTGTCGGCTGTATTCTTCACATTTCCACTACCAGAGCAGCTAAATCCGGGCCGCTTCAACGTGCTGGGGCACAGCCACCAGATCTTCCACGTGCTGCTGTCCTTGTGCACGATCACGCAGATCGAGGCTGTTCACTTGGATTTTTTAAAGCGTCACAATGGAAGGAATCACTCCTGACGTTGAGGTGAGATTTAGATTTATTTTCATTATCATGCATCTTGTACAAAAACAATTCATAATGGTTAATTGATCACTGTGTGTCAACTGAACCAATATATAAATAAGTCCCACACCTGATCATCTCGGATCTTCTTTAAAAACGGAAAGAAACACAAATTACGTTTAAGCACAACGTTCAGGTCCCCACAGACATTTTTTAGCTGATATGGCGAAAGCATCTGTACAACAACTATTGATGAAACTTGTATTTTAAATCACCATGAACCTTGTAAAAAAATAACTAAATAATTGAAAACGTTCATAATGACTAATTTTAACCCGATAACTTCAGAGATGTATTCTGAGATTTAATGGCAAACTCAGAACAAAATGTGTTAACCTAATTTTATTTGACTTTTTGAATGTCTGAAATGTCTCAAGTTATTAGAGCCACTATAAAGTCTGGGTTTCTGAAAAGATGGTATCATACAGCTCAATTTCTAAAATAAGTCCTTCAGAAATGGTCACGGAATAAAAATTGTGAAAAGTGCACTAATTTTTGAAGGGCTAATTCGGTAATGTAGAGTCAACAAACATTACCAAATTTCGTTCTCAAGCATATTTTTCGTGTTGTGAAGTAACTAAACGCTTCGAAGGTATTGTGCAGTGGAGACCACGTTTTTATAATATCCTCATATGACACTGAACCTAATTTATCTACACCACATTGACATTTACAAGTGGTATTTTTAAAGGGTTTTACAGTCCTGTTTGTGCACACAATAACTGGCTCTTGATACACTTTTCTTTTATTCTCATTACTTCCTCTGCTCAATGGCATTCATTGGCTGGAAGTAATAAACTATATAACAACCTCATTAATGACAGTTGACTCAAATTTTTCGATTTAAAGCTTTCGTGACTGCAGGGATTCATCTTCATTAGTTGACTCGCCAAGATTCTTTTACAATTTAGTTTTCACAGGCCATTAGTTTGTAGAGCTGCGTAAAACATGTATTAAATGGTTCAGGATTTGGTTTACTTGGAGAAATAAAATACATCAATTTGGGAACGTTTACACATCAATATTCCTGTATATTATCGGGTGATGCGAATTATGCAATGAAGAGAAATTTACTATTTTCATGAAAACTATTTTGCATATGATTGGGACTGACAAATACAACCTCTGGTGATGGATTACATTCCTCTCTCAAACCAGTTGAATCGGTTTCTTTCACTATCTTCTTGCCTACACAATGCCCATGAATCAATGTAGAATCTTACAGAGCCTGTGCTTCAATATTTACTGGTATTGACCTCGGGCAATGACATCATTCTAGCCCCCTCCCAAAAAAACCAACACACACACTGAAGGGCTCCCACGTTTCAATAAAGCATCTTTTGAAGCACCTGCCATATCATGCACCATTGTCTCGTATCACAACAACAGGGACATTATAATTAACCGTTGAGAGTTGGTGTTTTCCTCATTCCCCAGGTGAGGTGGGCTCTGATGTCCTTTGGAGCGCTGGCTGGACTCAGCGTAGCCACTGCTGCACTGTGCACTTTACAGATGAGGAAGCAGCTCGCCAATAAGGACAAGTAGGGAGCTTGCTGTCTTGTCCTGAGGCTCACAGATGTTTCAACAGCTTAAGATTTGCACGATCAGGCCATGAAGGTACTTGCCCCCACGATGCTCTGCGGGGCATGTGCAGTTACAAGTGCGTATGTGAGGGGGTTAATAGGTGAGAATATATACAGCTAGGGCTGCGATTTTGGCACGTAGTTCATGGTGGTCACGGATATTGTGAATTTGAATATAAAGCCCACAGGATTTTGTGAAATTTCTGTCATTTTTATTTTGCACCTCGAACGTAAATTCTGCTAAACATTACAATGCCAAAATCGTAACCTTATGTATAACACCTTAGTAAGCGCGCAGTACATTGGTGAGTGCGTGCATGTTCTTTCAATGAGTGGAGGTTTGCACCTCATGCAACATGCATGGGTTCTTGTCTCTGTGACACGAGAGAGTAATTGACAAACACTCAGCGGGTGTATCTCGAGAATGTATGCATGTTGAACTTTGGGAACCTCATTTGCCAGTAAAAATATGATAATTGGTTCTTTACCCTTCTATCTGGCAACAAAACTGACACCTTTTTACAAGGAGTCATGTTTGCATAGACCGCAATACCTGCAGTCATAATACAAACAAAAGAACATAACTCTGATAATGTGCACTGTCCTTGAAGTGTGGACCAATCAACTTCAAGGACAGTGCACATTATCAGAGTTATGTTCTTTTGTTTGTATTATGACTGCAGGTATTGCGGTCTATGCAAACATGACTCCTTGTAAAAAGGTGTCAGTTTTGTTGCCAGATAGAAGGGTAAAGAACCAATTATCATGTTGAACTTCTTTCGCACCGTACGTAGTCAACCGTGATAATGCACGTTGAAGGACAACAAAAAGAAATATGGTAAGAATGTGCTGGGTAAGTCTGTATTAGTGTATTGTGTATGTGTTGTACATTGTGTCTTCAAGACTGGGCGAGTTCCCGTTATTTCCATGAAGACCAAACTTTAGCCAAATTTACAGCTTATTTTGTTTACGTTGCTCAATGTAAAATGATTTACATTGGAACAGAAATATGAGGAAAGGTAAGAAGAGTACACCACTGAAACAATGCAAAAAAAATCACAGGTGAATTTGCGGAAGTCGCAATCCAATTGTTGCTGTACGGTGCTCGGCTAAGACTGCAACTGGCGGACGACGTTCCAGCGCAGCGTAGAGATGCAGTGAACAATAAGTCATCGCTTTGCACGATGTTTAATTCTTCTTAACGTTTGGAGCACAGTTTTCCATTGTTCGTCGAATTAAAATACATATTTAGAGGCACCCCATAAAACGCCATTATATGCAGGATATTGCATATTCACCCATGTTATTTCCATGAAACACTGTAACACGGTACAGTACTATATAGTAAGACAGCCATTGTACTAGCTTTTGCTTGTGAGATTGAGATAGTGTGAATTAATGAGCGTGAACCTGTGGAATTGTGGGATTTATTTGTGAAGCGAAAAGCTATTGTATGTGTGATATATTGCAGACTGGATAGTGATGTGTGGTTGTCATTACTCTAGTGAGAAATTGGTAGTGTGTGCGTGCATGCATGTGAAATTAACACGAATGCAGTGTGCTATGTTAAGTAGTAACGAGTGACCCACACGTATACGTGTTGGTTCATAGGTGAATGCGTGTAACTAGTAGCCTATAAAGGATAGCTTGAAAAATGTGTTAGCTGGTAACTGAATGCACACTTTTGTCGGATAACGGAGAGCCAGTAAGAATGTGCTGTGGATGGGAAAGTTATTGTGCACGTGTAACGTGACACATCCACACAGAAACGACGCTATCTTGAATGTGCATGCAAAGTTATTGAAGGAGTGTGCACTGGTGCGTACATGTTTTGTGCTTCGGCATGTGATTTCACGAGCTTGAACGTGGTGAGAATGGGACGGGACATATTAGTGAGGTCGAGGGCATGGCGTGTGTGTTACCCAGTGGAAAGTAGTGTGCGATTGTCATGTGCAATGACGCGCACACGCTAACAATTTCTGTGTTGAGTGGGTGGCGTGACGGAAAGCATATTGCACAGGTGTGTGTGTATGGGCCGTTGGTGGAGAGTGTGTTATACATGCTATTAATTGGGCCATCGGTACACTTAACAGTTAATAACTAACACTGACGACTGACGAGTGTTAACAAAATTAACATTTTATTAAGCAATTCTTTTGCATGTGTTGGCTGCATGCGCAAATGTATTAATGATGCAACTTAACCTAAAAGGAATTTGAGGAAGCATTTTGAATAGAGTGCACTATTAGCAACGTTATTACTACAGATTTATAGAGTTATAACTATACTGTATACGTACAGTACTCTTGGTGTGCACATATATTTATATAAAGTGTATACTCTTAATGTGCAGTATACAGCAGTGGTTCTCAACCTCATCGTGTTGGACTTGGGACCTCTTTAAACCACTACTGAAATGCCACTGAACCTGTTAACCTGTATTTATAACCAAAGCAATTAATTAGACACCACATATGAGAGTGGTGTAGAAGCACAGATAAAAGGACATCACCACCTACTTCATTGTAACACCGCTTCCAGCTATGCCAGTGAAATTTGTTTTGCACTATCTTCCGCAGAAGAATCGTCACCCAAAATACCCTTCTATGACAGTATTGTACGCCACGCGCCTTGCTGTTATAGGGTGGTGTCAATGACGAAGGTGGTGAGTTGCTCTGACAGTTGCATCGTTGGTTAGGGTTAGGGATTAGTATAGTTGCTGGTGTATAGATTAATTGCAACCTCCTTGTCACTTTTCATACCCCTGCAAGATCCATTGGTCTTTCAATGACCCTTAATGATACCTGCAGCCCCTTTAGGGGTCTATGGAACCCTGGTTGAGAACCCATGGTATAGAGCAAAGTCCTTTATAGCATATGCAACTAATTTTAACCTATGACTATGTTAATATAAATTATAATAGCTTAATAGGTAAAGTTAAACGTGTTTTCCTTAACTGGAAAGGTTTGGCCTTGTTGCTGATTGTTAATTATCAGCCTTGATAAGAATTAATGGTCATACTCTTTGGTTCTTTCGGTAAAGTCACGTAGGTAGAAAAAACACACAAGCAATCGTCTTCAGGTGGGTCATTAATATTGGTTTCCCATTGTGTTTTTTTATAGGAATAGGCTGACTTGTAAGCAGAACACCAGAGGTGTGTCAGTTTTACAAACAGATTTAGGAAGACGAACCCGTTTTATAATTTTCCTATTATAACACTTGTACACATTTTGTTAACGGAAATCACTGGAAAAAGACGTGAATATCAAAGACATATCAATGATCATAACCGAGCCATTGTTGACTATGACAAGACATTTGAGTCGGTGGAAATTGATGCAATAATTTCTCTCGCAAACTCGAGGCCTAAATACATTTGATCGGAAATAATAATATCCCGATGATAAGAATGGAGCAGCTTGACTTGAGAGTGGATGAACAAAGTACCAAAATGCATGCTAAATGGGGAGTCAAGGTAACAGTTGTGTCATTCAGAGCTGCATTAGAATGTTTACTGAACATCTTATTGGAAAAATGTAATGCTTAAATACAGAGACTCCTCTACTTACGAACATTCGACCTTCGAACTTTCCGGTATATGGACAAACCTGTCCGTATGTCCAGTTGTCCCGAACGAGAGTCATAAGTTCAACCGCCACGCAATAGATGGCGGTGGTGGAATCTACAAGAGATTATACAACTTTTAAAGTCATTCCCCGTGTTTAGTGTACATGCTGTACAATATGTTTGGATCGAGAGGAGTAAAGTTGGACTTATGAACAAATCGACTTACGAACATAACTCTGGAACCTAACTCGTTGATAGGTAGAGGAGTCCCTGTATAGGCGATGTCATAATAACGAGATATGGAAATTAACTCTAGGAAATTATAGAAGAACGTAAGTTTAACAAATATGCAAAGTGGGGCTCGAGATAAATACAGTACGTGCAAAGCGTGCTGAACAGTAAAATGTTATCTGTCGGACAACTGGAAAACGCTTCATTTGGCAGTTATTTAAATCACATTGGGATCAAAGCAATAAAATTAAGAACATGGATGAGGGCAGGTTGGAGTGCTTTTTGGAAAAGAATAATGAAAAACAACATAGTGTTTATATACTCTTTGGTTCGTTCGGTAAAGTCACGTAGTTACACTGGATTTTGTTTTACATTTTGTTGTGTTTCATTAACCATTTGAGATTATATCTTTTTTTTGCAGTGGAGAACTGGGAAACCATAACACATGGTCAGATAATTTCGTATTTCTATAAATGCAGTAGAATTAAAATGTGATAAAGATTTGAGTTCGATGGTTAAGGTCAGTGGTTCCCAACCTTTCTGGAGCCGCGGAGCTGCGTCAGCTCTCAAAACGTTTTGCGAACCATCTTGCACCAATTAAAAATGTCTTAAAATTACTTCGATAAGCGTTGTAAAACGTTACTTGAGAAACCATCACAATTGTTAATATTTTATTGACCATTCTAAATAGTTGTGCAATGGACCACGAACAATATGGTGTTTTGTGAAACAATTGGAATGTCCGTAATATCTACCCGCGCCAGTTCCGTGGGGCCACTTTTCTGTGGCCTTCCAGACCACCGTTGACTCGCAGACTATGGGTTGGAAACCACTGGTTTGCACCACACCTGGACCGGGGGCTGTAAGATTGATGCCCTTGCGTCCAGGTGCGACGGCCGCATTGCATCACACGCGTGATTTGCATGATGTGACGCGTGGCATATACCTGCACTAAAACAATAAAATAATGCGCATAGATTTCTGTTTGCCTCGTGTCTTTGTAGAAATGTTAAAAACCCATACCTTAGTAATAATGCATCTTAATATTCTAAGTTACATCGTGGAGAAAAAAAAAGTCACGGTGATTTCTTGCTCAACTGAGCATTGAAGCAGTTCTCATTTATTGCCAGCCCTGAACCAGTGGTGGAAATTCCACGTTCCTGTTGCATGGGCGAGTATATCCATAAAATGGTATAAATTATACTCTTTGGTTCTTTCGGTAAAGTCACGTAGGTATAAAATAAAATAAATCACGACGTTTCGGGCGCAACACAAGCGTCCGTCAGACTGTTTCAGCTGCCTCAGCAGCAGACCATGCTTTCCCACCCGATGACGGACGCTTGTGTTGCGTCCGAAACGTCGTGATTTATTTTATACCTACGTGACTTTACCGAAAGAACCAAAGAGTATGGATTCTTGCAGTCACGAAAGCGTCAAATCAAGATTGAATGGTATACATTTTATTGACACCCAACCAGCATTTGAATTTGCAACCTTCAGATTGTGAGCTGCTCACTATCGCTGAGCCACTGCTTTTTTTACCATTTGTATGATTAAGTTATGAAGGTAATTTTTGCAAATTGGTGTGCCGTGTAGTCAATTGTCGGCCCCATTCTAGAAAATGATTCGTTTATATGGTGTTTTTAGGTGACTGCATTCCGATTATCCCTCTCAATGCTTGAATTAAGCGCAAAAACAAAAAACGTGTTTTCCTTTAATGTGTCAACATTCAGATAATTCCCTATTGGTGACATCAATAGCAGTTCACCCACGGTGGGCATGATGCGTTAAGAGGATTATCAGCACGTGAACAAAGATCATACGATTGCAGCACAGCTATCGTAATAATGTGCTATTGGACTGTTCTAATACACTACATGTGTTTTATACTTGGAACTGTCTTAATGCCATTCCTAGTTGCAATACAAATGATTTTGAGGCAAACAAACCTCATCCGCGCAGACCATGGCAGATGCGGATAGCTGATGCACGAATGGAAAATAAAAAAACGCTCCAGTGTGCGACTGGTTACACATAACATACGATGGAACATATATAACGACTCAACAATGCGCGATTGACAAATACGAAGGAGGCATCGGTGTGATACACTCCACTACTCCTGACACATTTATCTGGCTCAGCCACTCGTAAAATTATCGTTGTTGCTCTACATGAACATAAGCCGTACGAAGAAAATATAAATGGTGCGATGTGCGGAATTATAGCAATTACGCCAGCCGTTGGAATAGACCACTTTTGTTGTAGGCCACTTCCACATCTGATGGAGGCAACTACTGCTGTTGCATTCGTGGCATTGGTTTCCCATTGGACTCAGACTTGCCTCAAGTGGTTGAGGTGCGAATTGGAGATGCTGTATTACAGCGCAGAGAAAAGCCAGTGAGGGCGAGCGACACTTGGCGATGAGCATAAAGTCTGTCACTCATCACTGTCGCAATTTTGCGCCCGTGGTCATGTGTGCGGTGCATCGTTCAAACGGTTGATTACACATCGCTATAACGGTTGATTACACCACTACAATGAACGATCTGACGGTTCTTTGTGCTTTCCCAGAGACTAATAGAGCACCATCATCAAAATCATTTTAATCCACATGTCCACCACTGGCATTACAATATGAAGAGATTTCCTCCAGCAAAAATTAGCACTGTCATTTACTGCATCTCTACTCCAATATCAATAACACCGACATCATCTCCAACATTACTATTGTCTATTACAGCATACATGTTATGTACTTTCGGTAACATATTGTACAAATGAAGGCGGTTAAAATGTAAGCGCTAGCATAAAGCGTGGTTGAGCCCACCAAACATCAATGCGTTACGCACATCATTGTTTCGAGTCATGCCACGGTTTTCATGGAGAATTAACTGAGGGTGCAAAGTATTCGGGGTGCAGCAATGCTCCCGATTGAAGGGTTAATGTCAATTATCAATCTCAAGCCACAAGGATTGAATTGAATGTGTATATTTTCAATTGGTATATGTTGCATTTATGAATATACATGGACTGCGTCGTGGCCAGCAGCGAGTATTATTCTGTACTTCCACACGCCCCTGCCTTCGCAAACCCATGTTGACTAGGGTGGTGAAGTATGGTCAACTATATCACTCGTGACCTGCACAGTGTGGAAAGAACCTCATCCAGCAGTGAACTAACGAGGGCTGTACATGTGCTTATGTTGCTTGTAATTAAGTCACGTGGCAGCTACAATACTGGTAGCTATATTCACCACAGTAATACTGCTTAGGTTTTTTGCGGTTGCGCCGTATAGCACCGTAAATTCTCTCCCTGTGGACGCGTGGATTTCTCTCAGGGTCCTTCGGTTTTGCCCACCAGATTTAGAAATATGCGTTTAGATTATTGGGCTGCGACTCTAAATTCCCTCATATGATGACGATGATTGGTATAAGCCACTTTGATGGCCGCCTCTAAAAAAAGAGCTCATAGCTCGGTGAGATTTACCTGGCTAAATTGAGAAAAAAAGCTCTGCTGAACCTTCAGGTTGAATCGCATGTTGCTCGGCATGAAGTTCGCCTTTCACTCTGCGTGCTGGTGAGCTTCTTCTGAATGCAGTCCCTGAAGTCGCCCCCAACATCGTGGAGTGAATTCGGTTCCCGAAAGAAGCTCCCATGCGGCATGGGGAGGGGAACATCGGACGACATGCCGAGCAATTTGCTGTACCAACCCTAAAATACATCAGAGTGCTGCACAGCTCAGGGTAAAAAAAAAGAATCTTCAATAGCAACAATTCATCGACTCATAACGGTACGAATAATTTTTACACCCCTAACGGACGTGCATTTGTGTTGCCGACGATCGTCATGATGCACCATCGCGCGTGTGTGCGTCCGCCATGCACCGTTAGAAGTCGGCGGGACGAATCATCATGGTGGAGGCTTTGAGAGAGTAGCTGGCTCCACGCCAGTAGTGCCACTTGATTCCGTTAAAGTGGCCGTAGTGGGAGCCCTTTGGGAAGAACTGCCCGTTGAGGTTGGAGGGCCCACATGCCTCAAACCACCAGCCTACCGTGCACACAAAAGGGAAGCAAAAATATGAAAGTGCACCCCTGCAATAACTAGCTCCAATCATCGCTGGCAGAAGGGCATCCACTAGAGGACGCTCTGGACAAGCCCCCTTCATAGGGTGTTTTGGCCGACTGTTCGACGATGGATAGTGTGTTTTGAAAGAGGTGGGAGTACCCACACTTCATCTCACCACACGCAATCTGCCGATCGACTAAATGTGGTGTAACCATTTATGGAGCAGAGGCGAGGGGGTTCTCAGAAACTAGCCGCCTTGTCTCAACCGCCCCATCAGGGGATAGATCCGGAAACCTCTGGGCGGCACGTCCACTATGCATGCTTCCTTATCAACACTGCGTGACTAAATCACAGATATCTCCACCGTAAATAACTCTGAAAACAACAAAGAGTTGTATCTTTTTTCAGCAAAATATTGCTCTTATCACAGTACTGCACGTTGCGGTCTGAAGCAGAACCAGAGGGTTTTTTCAACTGGAACCAGATGACTGACGTCCTCAATGCGCCTCAGCCGATCTAAGCACTAATTGAATCTGGTTAGTGCGAGGATGGGTACTAAAGAGGCCTTGTCGCGTGTGTCAGATATGCATCTGCAAGGTAGACAAGGGATGGTAGTGTTGGGATTCATGTCATCTGGTCTCCTCCTACATGAGCGAACACTCATCAGTGGTGTTGGTCACACATTCCAATACAGTATCCCCTCGTTAGTCGTGATGGATACGTTCCAGGATATCAAGTCCATGATAATGAGGGAATACTGCACAGGACCCTCACAAACAACAGTCTTGACATTCACGTGACACGTGAGGCATTCCTGATCAAATCACAGTATTATTGAATAATGCAAGGAATGGCAATAGGTTATAAAAGTAAGTCATGAGGCTGATAGACAATTAATGAGGTTGGGAGTGCAATGTACGTATGTTGAACTTTGTTCGCACCTGACGTAGCCAACCGTGCTAATCGGGGGTGCGGGGAAGGACAACAAACTAACCATAAAAAAGCAGTTCTAAACACTGTCTTAAAAGAAAAAGTGCATAACAGCAGGTGACATTTCGGGCAACGGCCCTTATTCACAGCACATGCGGCTCTTTAAGGACTGCCTTCGTGTCGTTATTTATTAAGGACCCACCGTCTCGTTATCACCGCATGCATTGTGGCTCTTGAAATATTGAGGTTTTTGTTTTTACATAATTTTAATAAAAATGGCACTTCCCGTTATTTTGGTTGTCGACCTCTGGGCTATTGGGAGGTTAACAGGAAGATCACGGAATTGTTGTGAAGTACATGAGACCCGGGCTTCTCACCCCCTGAGCTCAGCTGGGCACATTTGCACTGGCAGCGGTCGTGATCCTGGTCGCGGGTACTGAACTCGGCACCCGACTGCACCAAGCTGCTGTAGCGGCCGGCTGTACCAGAGAACCCACTGACCAGCAACCTGCATGCAACAGTGGACACGCGCAACAAAGAAAAAAGATCACCCATTTATCGCAAATAAAACTGCCGGGGCAGGTGCTGTTAGTGAGCATCCATTCAGGACAAAACGGCGTGAATAAATCAAATATCCCCCCTATAGCCTTAACAGACTGTTGGGGCAAGTACTGTTAGCGAGCACCTATGAAGGCCGGCACGGCAACACGAGGTAGTGATGAGGCAAGCACCACACCCGGGCTTCTTTTGTCTCCCAAGTGTTAACACACCACAATCGGTACTCATTTAAGGCTGAGATGACCTAAAGGAAGCCCAGGAGATAATATGCCGCTGTTGTTAGCCGTGGCAAATAATCTAACCTATGTCGCCAACGTTCTTAGCATAGCAACACAAATATGCAGATGCATATTATTTTATTATATTCGTTAAACCAGGATGACCTCACCGAGTCTCATCGTCACGCCACCATCAACATTCCAAGTGCATGCGCATGCAGCTACTACTGGTCTGTATGTTTGTTCGCTACTGACTTTTTGGTATAATACAGAAGTAAAAGCTGGATATCAGCACCCCCTCTTGGTAGCAAGGACCAGTGGTCCTTATATCCAAAGTGTGCTTTTATCACAAGTTGCCCTCTTCCATTCCAGTCCCAGTGTAATGTAAGGATGTGTTGCTTATATGAGGCTTCTTCTTAGGGTGCCACGGTGGATACAGGAGGTCGTAGGTGCGATCCCCACCCTTACACCTGCTGTATATTTGGAGTTTGCATGCCTCCTCCCATGGTCGCGTGGATTTTTCTCTGGGTCCTCTGGTTTTTCCCTCCACGTTTAGAGAAATGCGTTTAGATCAGTGGCGGCTCGTGACATGTCCACTCGTTGGGGCTGTTGTGAGTGAACTCTAAAAAGATGGTGTTCTAATTAATAAAAACCTCGTCATGCTATTGGCATTCCCCTGTAAGTGATATAACTGTATTATCTACCAACGGTAGGCATTTATAAATAATACGAAATAAAACTACATGGCACTCTAATGCTGTCCTCATGACCCTCAAGTCCACACTCAACAACCCCTTTGACACTGACAAAAAAGCCTAGAGCGTGAAAGCCGTGAGCTGCTATATTTGCATAGTGCAACCTCGCGTTTCTCACTGCAGCCATGGGCGCCTTTTCACCGCCCTGAATTGGTCTTATGAACAACTTAAAATGTTATCTTTATCAGGTCATTCAAGTTGATAGAATCGTTATATATATTTTTGAAACCAAACAAAACAATTTATAGAAAAGTCTTTTTATTAGAAAAATGCTTTCTCATCTCCAGCTGCTTGGTGGGGCGGTGCCTCCAACGCCCCCTAGTGGACGAACCGCGCCTGGTTTCGAGTATTTGGCTGCTAGAAATGTCCACGTGAAAAGCAACTTCGTTGAGCAATCGTTTGTGGTCAGGTCGCTTCTGAAAAAAAAGCTATATAACTCAGTGGGGCCTTAACTGGTAACATAAAAACAATAGTTTTAGTTTAGTGCTTGGTCATCTACGCACTCGCAGCTCTTTGGCTCAAATGCACTCTGCCTTGCCTGACCTTGAACTTCCTTCAAGTCGTCAAGCAACATTTTTTCCGTTTCTGTATCTAAGTATCTTTAGCAAATATTTTTTTCAACAACTACCTTCATCATTCTTTCGTGTCAGAGAATGTGCCCTTATCCACATATGTAAAAGAAATTTGAATTGTTCAAACTTCCTCATAACTCCGCACCCCCGATTAGCACGGTTGGCTACGCACGGTACAAAAGGTCAACATACAGACCATTATTTCTCTCTACTCTATCCAACCAGTTATTTCCATTCAATTCCAGATTCAACATCTCGAGACTTTCCACCCTTGTGTCTCTTTCTTTCGTGTAGTCCTGCCACATACGACAGTACGCTCCGTACGAGGGCCTTCGCGAGTATTTTCTTCTACTCTCTCTCTCTGCACATTCCCATTGCAATCCTGGCTCTCATCTCCTTGAACAATCGGCTATCTTCAGTCGGAATCCGTACCGTGAAACTTCACTTGTGACACGTGCTCATATTGGATACACTGCTTTTCGATTTGAAATCTTTACCATGACACAACGTTTTCGAAGGCCAGCAAGCGAAATAGTTTTCCTCTCAGGGTGGATTGGAGGTGCAGTGGTTGGGAGTACTGTTTTACGAACGCGACGATGACTTGCCTTCTATTCCTCGCCACGGTTAAAGCATCAGTGGTGAAATATGAACCAGGAATAGGTCCGCACCTTCATCGCCAACCCTCACTGACCAGCGTGGTGAAGTATGTTCGAACAACCCACGTGATCGGCATTACTACGGAGAGGTCCTAATTTCAGCAGCGGTGGATTGACAGAATAATTGTAGACTACATTGTCCACGGGAAGGGAGTTTCAGAAGTTGTGCTCTATACCAACCCAACACTCGCCCCCTACAGTTGCTGGATTACAGGCGTGCATAGTATCGCCACTGCTATACTAATAATAATTATAATCACGTCTCAATTACAATACGTGCACAATTCGAGCGACAACGATCACAAGATTTCCCCCTGCTCTACCAGACTTATGTTAGTTATCTTTCCCCCCATTCTTCCCTTCACAATATGAGCTTTCATGTTCTCGCTTTGTGATCCCCCACTTGGATGGGCAGGTGAGCCCGAATCTCCCCCCTTTCGTTACGACCCCTGGCACGCCGATCTTTTGGGTTTATGTTCGCGGCAGAGTTTGTTGCCCACACTCCACTTCTCCACCGGTACTGCGATCAGTGCTTTCTGTACTGAGCTCGCATTGTGTTACAATTAAAAAATAATAATATATAAACTAAACAAAACGTGGATGAAATAACGTGCAACCCGTAGGCGGAGTTTGACTTCTATACAGGGTGCTTCAAAAAAAATGTCAACACTTCTGAGAATTTTCAACAGTACCACAAAAAATGTGCTTCCGGGCTCTGGAGACCTCGAGAAGATTCCAGGCATGCGTTGACAATGATGGCGAACAAGTGGAGACTCTTTTTGAAGCTATTAACATATATTTGTTATCATCTTACAGTGTTTTATCTGTTCTTTTTCCATTAAAAACGATAGTCCCATAAAAGTGTTTAAAAAAATTGAAGCACCCTATATTTTTGGGGCGAGGGTGGGCAATCGCGGGTGCAAAAATAAAAAATAATAATTGTAAACTACTGAGACTAAATTAATAAAGGTGTCCTATTTTGGGATGGCTTTGCCCCCAATCCACCAAACTCAGCACGTGGACTGCAATGCCCCCCCCTCCCCCCCCAAAAAAAAATTGCGTGCGCACCTGTATCTAGCAGCCTCCCCTCTCAGGGTGAAGCGAGCGTAGGAGGCGTACGCCTGGTTCTCGTCCCAGTCCCAGAGGAGGATGCGGAGCGCTTGGGGTCGCCTGGATGTCAGCACGTGGACCGCCTCGTTGCCCAGCCAGTACTCTCTGTCCGCACTCCCAAAGCCCTTGCAGTCAAAGCAAACAACACGGAGCCGTGAATCGGTCGTTCAAAATCCGAGACGCTCGTTCACGCGAAACGGTTTGGCAAGGCGTGCGGTGCGAAACGAAGTTCAATGTACGCACACATACGTACAATGGACGGGGAGGGGGGGGAAACCCATCACAATAGGAAAATGCGTGCAGGCTGGAAGAAAACGGCCACATGTCTCGACTCTATTTTGAGTTCGTTTGTGGCTGGAACAACGATCCGGCAGCACGTTTGGCTCTGTCGAGTTAGTGCTTTAGAAAACGGGCTGAGAGCATTGTACACGAGTTCTGGTGATCATAGGGGCATGGCCATGCAAGGTGGCATGATGGCAGACATGCCTTCGTCTTCTTGTTCTCTGCGAGAACACCTTTTGAGCGTGACCAGTGCTGAATATCAGCTGGAAAGTCAGGAGCGTTGTTTCAGAAATTATTTTGGCACCCTGAAAACATCTGTCTAGCCACATTTTGTCTTAAACTTGTTTAGAGAACTGACGTAATATACAAGGCACAATAATACAGTGCAAATAATGGACGGCATTCCTTGTGCTATACTCTCGTGGTAGTGCCTTACACCAATAAGCCCTACTCCAACACAGCCTAGCAGTGTTCCAGAAAACATTGAGTGAGACATTCATTCTTTAAAGGGGCATACCAAGATGTATCAGTGACAGTAAACCACTCGGAACACATTCCAAATAATATAATAACCACTTGCTATGAATATTCTGTGGTTATTTCGGTAAAATCACGTAGAGAAAAAAAAACTGAATACAAATAACAAAAAAATTCACGTTATTAATAAATAAATAAACTATTCAACATCATTCTGCTGTAGCTCTCACACCCCCCCCCACCTCGAGGTATGCGGATAGGCTGCATATTCTTCAGGGATTTTCGTCAAAGTGGCGAAAGTTTGGACAAAAGCCTGCCCATGTACTTCACTGGAGTGGTAGGGGTGTTCTTCAGGATGCCACAGGAACGTGTAAATCACGCACGCGCAGTGCCCCTTGGTGGCGCAAATCGGTATAGCATCACGCATTGCTCGCCCCCCCACCACACTCGACCGGAGAACTAGCGCCCAAACGACTGCAATGGTCAGCTGCGCCAATAGCAAAGTAGTTTAATCAGTAGAAGACCAATGTTAAATGGTAACACAAGTGATTAGCGCCCTTTTGAATAATATAATAAAATACATATTATTTTACGCCAATGGTTATTTTGTGTTATAGAATGCTGCATCGAACTAGGACAACGTTTTTTAAATGCCAGTTCCTTGCACAAAATGTCTGGAAGTTTCATCAGAATTTGTTGAAGCAAGCCTGATTGCTGGTGATACACTGTATGTCAAAATTGATTCAGAGTTTTGCTTGTACTGAACCAATGCTGCTGAAATCGTGCACTCCCAGAATGCATTGTGGTTGATGGGAAGTGTGTTTTTGGAGGGACATGGATAGGAGCTATATTATCTGTTTATTTAGTTTACGATCAAAGTTAGCACAGTCGTGGCAACAGAAGAGGCAGCAGCTGCAGCAAATATACATCGTTAACAGGAAGCAGCAGTGATAAATAACTGATATAGTTGCAGGGCCGGATTAAGGCATGTGCTTTAGGGGCTGCAGCCCAGGAGTCTCTGCTAGCTGGAGGGCCTCCAGAGATTAAGTGAAAAGTTATTTCATTCATGAGTGCTGAATCAAACTTTGATTATTTCATTTGTGAATGCTGAATCAAACTTTGATCAAACTTTGATTCAGCATTCACAAATGAAATAACTTTTCACTTAATCTCTGGAGGCCCTCCAGCTGGCAGAGGCCCCTGTGCTGCAGCCCCTAAAGCACATGCCTTAATCTGGCTCTGTATAGTTGTCGTCTACCTGGTGGGTAGCAGAGAAAGCACTGCCACAAAGTCTATTGTTATACTGTACTTCTATGCTCCCACGTCTTGGCTCCCCGCCCGCGCCAACCCACACTGACCCGCATGTTGAAGTATGATCTAACAAACCTCCATACCTGACATGGCATGGGAACCACTCATCCAGCCTTGGATTTACAGAGTTGTACATATGCATGGTGAGTCATAGAAATATTGCTCCTGAAGTAGGCAGCAGCAGTATAACAGTATTGGCAGGAATTGCGAGTCGTTACAGAAGCAGCAGTCCTGTGCCATGTTGAGTGAAAGCCAGTGTATGCCTTTGACAGAATTGCACTCCGGAATTGTGGGACATGTAGGCCTGGAGTTGATCTGTGCCAAGCAGTCCAGAGAGGCTACCAATTTGTAGTCCTGCCAGGGGCGGTTGAAGTTGATATGTCCATCTTCACGGCGCTGAAAGACCGTCCAGCCACCGCCCTCCGTCTGCATGTCGCAGTACACCTAGGAGCAGCACAGTCACGCAGCGTGATTATAGTTACAACTCGATTATTCACGAGCATACGATATTGGTTGTTACCTAACGGTGAGATAGTGGACGAATGGGGCGCCGCAGTGGCGAGATGTTAACTACTTCGCCTGGTATACAGGAGGTCGTGGGTTCGATCCTGACTGACACCTGTATATTTGGAGTTTGCTTGTTCTCCCCATGGTCGCAGTGGATTTTTCTCCGGGTCCAACGGTTTTTCCCGCCACATTTATCAACATGCATTTAGAGTATTTGGCTGCGATAAATGTACACGTGATAAGCCACTTCGTTGAGCTATCATTTGTGGCCAGGTCGCTTCTCAAAAATAACTATATAGCTCAGTAGGCCTTACCTGGTAAAATAAATCAATAGTTTAATTTAGAATTCACATACTTGCTATGCATTCCTGGTCCTTACTTGTTGAGTGCCATTGCCCACATGACTGCAAATGTTCAAGTTTGAGCTTATTTTGCTTAACCAAATGAGAACTCAGCACACCAGGATAGTCTTATTTTTCAGTGATCTGAGGCACTAGTAGGCCAGCAGGGGGCGATGATTGCAATGTGAAATCCCAATTTGCGTTATTTGGACCCTGATGCCGTTACACAATGGCCTGCTCTTGCGAATGACGTCAGGGGATCTTTATATCGTCCGCTATGAGTGTGACGCAGATGGCGTGTGTATCGTTTTGGTTAATACACCCGGAGTAATAATCAGGGCGGCCACTGCATTCGAACCGTGAACCTCTGCTCCTGGACTAGCAGTAGCTAGCATAAACTATCACACAAACTCCAGTCATTTACACAGCGGCCTTTGGCTAGCCATCGAACCAAAGATGGTAACTGCAAAGCGCCCTTTCAGATGCGCTTCTGCGACCGTCTGGAATGCTCTTCCTTCTGATATTAGGAAGCGACTCGAGCTATGCACTATTAAATCTAGACTGAACACTCATATAGAACTTCTTTTTGTATTTCGTTTGTTGTCCCAACATACATACATATCACCTGAAGACGATTGTCGGTGTTGTGATCGAAACGTCATGATCAATTATTTTTCTATCTACGTGACTTTACCGAAAGACCCAAAAGAGTATGATTGACTGTACTTTAAGAACATTTAGACAGATGACATATTCTCATGCCATTACTACCATTCTATGAATGTAAATATATATGGGTCGTATAACCTCAATTACACATGTTTAGCATTATCATAATAGTTAACGAATGTACCAAGTTGCTGTTGTAGTGAACTTAGATGTAAAATAGTCGATGATTATATATCGCACCTCCGATGAGTACGGTTGGCTAAGTACGGTACGAAAGACGTTCAGCATACATACATTATATAAACATACTCTTTGGTTCTTTCGGTAAAGTCACGTAGGTATAAATTAAAATAAATCACAACGTTTTGGGCACAACGCAAGCGTCCGTCATCAGGTGAGAAAGCATACAAATGAACTGTTCTTGAGAAGAACAGAATATATTTCCATTTCGACGAAATAGCCTTCAGGAAATAGATATTAAGATTTCATCGGATTCATACTCGGAAATATGAATGTATTAGGTTAGGAGGTCATTTTCGAATGCAGTTCACCAGAATATGAATAGCTAAATGTGCGTTAACCATGTAAGATGGCAATAAAGTACAAACATTGTCCAGCCAATCAATCCACTCGTTCAGTAGTTAACCAGCCAACCAATTATTTAACAAGCCAGCAAGGTGTTTTGCCAGCCATCTACAAAACGCAGAGCTCGTGTACCTTGAGCGTGTGTGAAGTGTTAAACACGTGAAGCACGTATATGCCACTCCTCGTCTGCCCACTGCGGTAGATCTCGGCACAGTCCTGATAGGGCCCACCAGACCCTGCAGAGACACCAGCGATGGCAGCACCCCGGACCGTGATGTCACGTCCGGTCTCACCAGATGCCGTGGCCCCTCTAAATTCGCTGGTAACCTGGGCACCTCTTGCTCGACCCTGGACAGCTGCTGCGAAGTAGATCAACTTGGTGGTTATCATTATAGATTCATAATTATCATCAGCAGCAGCAGCAGCCATGATAAAAACGTGCATGTTTCACTGCTATTATACAGCATAATGAGATGTGGTAGCATTTCGAAGCTATAAAATAAAACGCCTTCTAATTTTATGTTGTTATATTGTAAAAGGGCACTTGTTTATCTGATGTGCCCATGCAGTGACCATGAACCTGATCTTATGAAACTAAGTGTCAACAGGCACATTAGGTCCATGCTGCTTAAGCCTTAGTTGTGATGGTTAATTTGTCGAGTGTCAGTCATCGTAACTGAGGGTCGATGCCCATGACAGATGCGTTCCACATTTAGAGTCTCTCGCAGAGAGTCCTATCCAACTGCTCACATCGTCTGACCAGCTGATCCATTTCCTTCCTCTCCCCTCTCTTCCTTCACATGACACGACGCAAGAAAGGGTTCTGATAAACATTTAGAAAGAAAAATTGCAAACAATAAAAAAATACCCTACTTGTGTTGTGTTGAGATTTTCCTCCATGCAAAAGGCGGTTATTGGGCTGAGATTCATCACTGGACTGGTGGCGTATGGATACTTCATTGTTCTTATCATCATCATCATGAGCATCGTCATCTTCTTCTTCTTCATCATCATCATCATTGTCATCCTCATCATCCTCGTCATCATCATCTCCATCATCGTCATTCGTGGTCGTTGATGTATAAGGCTGCTGGTTCAAGATTTTCCTCCGAGTCACTTCACGCCTACTCTCCAGCTCTGTAATCTTCCTCTCCAAGTGCCTGCGACAAAGACAAATGACAGCTGCTTCAGTGTACTTGGAAAGGTAGAGGTGTGCTGACATGGCAGTTGGGTCACTGCATCATCATTCATCCTCAAAGTCATCATTCATCCTTTCGCCATGGTGGCAAAATATTAACTGCTTTGCCTGGTATATAGGAGCTTATGGGTTCGATCCCGACACTGTGACGCCTGCTGTATATTTGGAGTTTGCATGTTCTCCCTGTGGACGCGTGGATTTTTCTCCGGGTCCTCCGGTTTTTCCTTCCACATTTAAAAACATGCGTTTAGAATATTTGGCTGCTATACATTTCCACGTGATAAGCCACGTCGTTGGGCTATCATTTGTTGCCAGGTCGCTTCTGATAAATAAAAAAATCCATATAGCTCAGTGGGCCTTACCTGGTAATTTTAAAAAAATAGTTTAGTTTTAGTTTGTAGTTTTCAAAATACTCCACAACAAATTAGCTGATGACCTCCGTAACTGTGTTGTTTCACTGGAGTCCTCATTACATCACCTTAGAAATATCCTCTCTACTCTCCACGCAGCTAAGACTTGCTCTCTGGCAATCGTGAACGTTCATCTGGTGTTGCCGTCCCCTCGCTTTTTTGGCATGAGCTCGCCTCGTCGTGTTGGCATGAATCCCTTGGTCTCTTCCGTGGCCTTTTTAAATTCCTGCCAGGATTTGTGATCTCCCTTCCATTGCACATTGCGGTTAGCGAGCCTCCCCCCGTCCGCCGCTGCGCCCGCGAATTGGTGTTATATGTCTGCGTCACCTGCCAGTGTGACTTGGATGTTGTTTTCCTCGAATGTGTTTGCTAACAGTGTCTGCAAGCCAATGATTTATTTGCTGTAACTGCCTATTGTTTTCTTCACCAAGGTGCTACCGTGGGTCATTTTTTGGTTTGTAGTAAACATTACGGCTGAATGTTTCTTACCCCCGCGTAAACAAAACAAATCAAATCGATCGATTAATATCTGCTGTACCTGTTGTTGTGCTGAAGGGTTTGAATGTTCCGTGCTTGTTCTAGAACCTTCTTCTGGAGGGAACGAGTGATGCCAGAGTGCCCACGCGCACCGCCCGCCTCTCGCACCGTGCTCTCCAGCTGCACTCGTTGAACACAGACCAGAAATTAGCTGAGTGCGGTATGTACATCTGAAAACGTGTTGCCGACATTGAGTGTTTTTTTTTCTACCATGTAAACAACAACTTGAAGCCTATGTATGTATGTTGAACTCTACGGGGTAAAATTGAGCCTGCACATTTGCTGATTTTGTGACTCCATCTCTGCGGTCGACATCCTCTCTTGTATGTATGTATGTTGAACTTATTTCGGATCGTATGTAATCAACCATGCTCATCGGAGGTGCGGGGGAAGGACAACAACTAAACAGAAAAAGCAGTTTAATCTAAATTCAAACGTGGAAAGCTCCAGTGGCTTCCTAATATCGGAAGAAAGAACGTTCCAGACAGTGCCCAAACTCGTTAGATATCGAACGCTAAGCAAGTTTGGGCCTGGACAACGCTTAGATGGGAGACCACCACGCAAACCAGGTTGTCATAGGTTTCTTCGTTGATGCGCTACACTGTCGTCAGCAGAGGTTAGAGAAGAACATTTCAAATCCACGTCCCCTACTTTCACCAACCCACAACAGACCAGCTTGGTTTAGGTATGTTCACATAACCCCCAGGACCTACATGGTGTGGGGAAGCCCTCATCCAGCAGTGGACTGACAATCGGGCTGCACATGCACAAATAACATTATTAAACATATTCTTATATTTTCTCGCAACATCCACTGATCTGATGTTGAAAATGTTTTCCCCAGGGTTGACAAATGCTCAAATGACAGTTCTTGGAAGTTCTTACTGAAGCCCTTCTAAATGATCGTACGCACAGAGGGGAGAAGGGACAGCTAATGATAGCCTTGACAGTCATATCTTCTCTAACACATGGCAGCATGTGCTCTTTTGTGCATTGTGCTGATAAGATGTCCCAGTAGCTTAGCTAAAACCACAAGGAACACGTGATACTCAGCACTTGGTAAAATGTCATTTTAGTGACTGGAGCTATTCTAATCAACATTTTACTTAACCCCCATAAGCTGCCCATTTACTTCTAATAGATGGTTGATTAAACTGCTGTAGTTCCACGTTGGTTCTGCTACATCTTACTAAGTGCAGCATAAAAAAAAACTACTGCGCAGTTTATTTTCACAATTGCGTTGTACAGCTCTTTGATGGGTTTTTATTTTTTCCAAATGTACCACGCGTTGTTTTAGCACGATGTCCGATGTTTCACTCCACGTACTGGTTGGTAGCTTAACCAGTTCCTGAATAAGCTCCCAGGACGTGGAGAGGAACTTCGGACATCAATGACAAACGCTGCGCGGCACAGCCCCGAAAGTACATCGGAGCGCTCCGCAGACAAATGTCTCCTCCCTCACGGAAGCACAGCGAAGTGGCGATAGACCACACCTTAACGCTCATGGTCTTGCATATCTGTCCTGACCATTTGTTTGAGAAAAAAAACAAAAACTCCATCTCAGCCTTGTATGCCAAGACAAAAACAAACTGTGTATTTTGGATACAATAATCAACATTTGTGTAACTAGGGAGTGGCTGGACAGCCCTCTTTCCAAGCTTTTAATGACCGTTTTCATAATTATTTCGCAACTGTGCCAACAACCAGGAGCAAACGGTGAAGCGAAGCCGCATATTCTCAATGGGAATTAATACTCAACAAACGTTATTTGCAACCCTTTGTATATCCACCGCTGGATGAAGGCCCCTCCACATTACACCACGCTGGTCAGTAAAGGTTGGTGAAGAGTGTAGTGGTCCAGGAGTGGTTAACTGTGGCCAGGAATCGAACTCAGGTCATTGGGTTCATAGAACAGCATACACATGCCACCGTATCCACTCTTCTACACCCCCAATGTGAAATAATCTCAGAAAATATCTCATTTGGCTAAACCTAGTATTCATTGCTATGATTGTTTATCTGTCCAGTTATTACAAAGGGCGGAGTGGTGGTGTAATAATTAGCGTACTGCACTATTAATTCGACAGCCAAAGTCGAATTCCCATGCATGGTTACCATTAGTGGTGAGCGATATCTGACCTGCTAATGAGATCCCCTCCACCACTCCCAACAACCCACACTAATCAGTGTAGTGAAGTATGGTCAAAAAATCCCATTGACCAACGTGGCTTTGGAAGGCCTTCATCCAGAAGTGAGTTGACAAAGGGCTGTAAATTCAGAATTCGTTTTTTTATGTTGTCTGCCGGCCGAGTCGCCCTTGAAAATATCTTCTTAACTCAATGGGCTTTACTCGGCAAATGAACTTGATTCTTAGCAGAATATGGTCATCTTATTGTTCTCTGGCGAATTGTATGATTTGCAGAATAATTTTACCTTTAGCGTGAAAGCAAAGCCGATTTTTTTATCAAATCCAGAATGCATCCCTAAAGGTATTGACTCATTATCGGTTCGCTTTTGCATTCACAATCTCTTGCACTCAAAATCTTATTGAACACAATCCAGGTCGACTATCTTGCAAAACGAGATCTCGAGGGATTTTTCCAGGTGAAATATTTGAATTCATAAATAAATATAAACTTACGGCGGCCTGCTATGCCGATCGCCAGGCCGGGCAGCAATCACCTTGTATGTATATTCAAAAAAGCCACAAATAAGTTCGGTTTCTATAAATGTATATGTGCAATTTCGATTTAAAGCTTTCGTGACTGCAGGGATTCATATTCTTGGTTCTTTCGGTAAAGTCACGTAGAAGGGAAATAATAAGATAATAAAAATAAAACAATTAAAATTATGTTTCGGTAAAGTTACGTATTATGTTTTATTTGTATTATTTCCCTTCTACGTGACTTTACCGAAAGAACCAAGAATATATGTGCAATGGTTTAATTATTGACAAAGTTTACCTCTTTAACTGAAAACATAACAACAAGTTTTTTATTTTCTTCGGAGCACATCGTGAAGTCAAAAAGTACCACACAGCTAAACCTTAACTTACTTAATCTTGATTTGAAGCTGCAGGAATCCATACTCTCTGGTTCTTTCGCTAAACTTATTTGTTCACGTATCACAGTGTTTGAACGACATGCACTATTTTCACCTTCAAAATCCAGCAGCATGGATTGCAAAACAAGTGTTACGTTGTCAGAATCAGAATATGTATTTATGCTGGAGGAATCCGATGAGCCATGAAGCTCTTTGTCACAGATGTCCAGTAGGGACAGGTCAGAGAACTTTACAACAAACTGTACAAAAACACGATAGTACAGTATTGCAAAGTACAAGAAAGGTAAACAAATCACCCCAAAAAAATACAAATAACACTAAACCATACCCATCCTACCAGGCATAGCCCACCGAGGAATTAATGTTGAACTTCCTTCGCACAGTACGTAGCTAATCGGAGGTGCTAACCTTGTGGAGACGCAGCGTGGCGTTGCCCAGAGCTGACTCTAGCTGCTGTATCCTCTCGCTCGTCTCGTCCAGGTCCTTCTTTGACACATCCCCATCCACAGGCGACGCCGCTTCCAGATCTCCCTTCCGATCAGGACTGCGAGTCCTGTCCTTGTTGTGAATCCGGTCCGAGTCTTCTTCATCCGGATCAGCGTCTCTCATAGACTAAAGGGTAACACAATCGATATGGTCACTTAGCAGGATTGTCATTATTACTATTTTGCCAAATGAAAGCAAAGATCAGGACAGCGTGAGATCATGGCACATTCGGGAGGCCTTAATCTAGCAGTGGCTTAACCATGGAGGCAAATTATAGTTTTTAGTTTAGTTTTTTTTGTAGGTCATAAAAAAAATTTGGATTTGAACATCAGTCATCAATTAATTGAAAACACGAGTTAAACGGCATTTATTTAACCGGCCCAATGCTGTTCAGTACAGCATATCAATCGATCAGTGGGGAGCGGTGGCATGATGGTTAGCGCACTGCCCTGTGAACCCAGCCACCTGAGTTTGATTCCCAGCCACGGATAAAGTCACTGGCAAGTGAAATCTGAACCGCTGCTAAGTTACCCTCCCCCCTCTCATCACAACCCACACTGACCAGCGTGGTGAAGTATGGCCGAATGTACTGAAGCATAGACGGAGCATGATACACTACAATGGATTGTGCTGTAACTGCCCTTCGCTAACAAGATACGTACAAGGAAATGTCCCTTAAGTGAGGGGGGAAATCATTCGGGTAAGCAACACATTGAATAAAGGCGAGCTGTCAATGCGTGAGGTGGCAGTCGCACCTCTGAGATGTTGTCGCCTATTGCGTTCATCTCCTGGCCACACAGTCTGCGAGCATCAACTAAACTACCGTACAGTATTTGTATTTATTTGACCAGGTAAGGCCCACTGAGCTATATAACTCTTTTTCAGAAGCGACCTGGCTATCACAAATGATAACTCAACGAATTGGCTTATCACATGGAAATGTATAGCAGAAAAAAATACTCTAAACGCATGTTGATTCTAAATGTGGAGGGAAATAACGGAGGGCCCTGGTAACAATTCACACGACAATGGGAAGAGAGAGACATGCAAACTCCAAATATTCAGGTGTCAGGGTCGGGATCAAACCCACGACCTCCTGTATACCAGGCAAGAGAGTTAACATCTCGCCACCGTGGCGTCGAGTGAGTGACTTCTTGCTCGCAATGAAGATAGACTGACGATCGTCTCCTATTTGTATCGCCCTGAGTGAGCCAGTGGGTGGAGATTCCACATTCTTATGACGTGTACAAGTTAATCCATAGGAAAACCACCGCGGACTCCGCCACAAAGTGGTATCTATTTTACCGAACTCGGAAGGTTGATGGGCTGAGTCATGCCACATGGGCGTTATGAGCCAATAATTGCGGCCCATAATTGTTCAAAACCCACATGGTGATGCCATGGACTTGAGCTACAAAATTGCCCGTAGGATTGATCAGTGCTAGAATATTGCCTCTCAAACCATTAGAAAAAGTACACATTTTTTGGGTGGGTGGGGTGCTCCAAACCCCAAGGCATCTCCTAAAACCCCTCGACGTGAATGCGGTCCTGCCTACGGAGGAGAAGCGCAGAGGTTCAACTCACCTGTGCGAGGGATGCGCACGCAGAGAGGTCGGGCGGGATGACGAAGGTGTAGGTGCAGAGGCCACCGCGCACCCGGCGATAAGAGGAGGCTGCCCTCGCCCCACGATGAGTGCCGAGAGGCTCGCCAAGCGCCCACATGTACAGCAGCAGCAGCATCGCCGAGCTCACCTGCGGGGCACAGCAGAGCCTGACCCCTTGACCTGCTCCCTCTGGGTCAGTGCTCTTCATTGCAAGGCCCTGCGGGCCACTGGCGGACACCTGGTGGCCTTCAGTGCGGCCCCTGACGTGCGGCCGGCGAAAATACACAGCATCTGAAAACACCCCTTGCAGGCGGTGTGGCGGCCCTCACCGTGATGATGTCTTATCGGCGAAAGTGCCCCCCCTCCCTGAAAATTAATGAAGAATACTTGTCTAGGTCGTTAATGAATCAAGGATCAAAGATTCCTCCCCCCCACCCCATAGAGCCTTAACAGACTGTTTGGGCAAGTGCTGTTAGCGAGCACCAATGAAGGCCGGCACGGCACACGAGGGGGTGGGTGGCCAGCACCACGCCCGGCCGCCTTTGTCTCCCCAGTGGCGATGTTTACACACCGCACCAGGTACTCATTTGAGGCCGAGTCGACCTAAGGGGGCGTTAATAAATGGACACATGCCCATGCACGTATTCACTGTGGAGGCTGCACATTCAGTGTCATACTCATTGGCCATGATCATCAGTTCACTGCTGGATGAAGGCCTTCCCAAGCCGTCATCATCTCTCACGCACCTGCTCATGAGCTGATTTAATCGCTCCATCTCCAGGATGGACATCCTTTTGAGCGCATTCCCTTCTTGGACGGGCGCTGACGTTAGTCCTGGCCACTGGCCATCATCTCTTGTCACAATCAATATTATGGCTTTTCTTCTTCTCCAATATCTTAACTGGTTCTCCGATTTGTGTTCCTCTTTTCTTCGTTATTTTAAGCGTGCAAACTCATTATTAGCACTTTTATACGGTTTTACTACATACTTTTCATCATTGTCCATGTTTCTAATCTATCTAATAGCAGGCAATATGCATTGACTAGAAACGCTCCATGCACTGGAGCCATAACAAAGTTCATCGAACGAAGCAGGGCTTCTAATCTTGAATACAACCAGGTGATACCTCAAGGGACTAGGATTGCGTCTCATTTGCAAGTGACCTCGAGTATTAGTCTGCCAGTAGGGAGCGATTATTGCTTTATGAAATCTCAATTCAATTAGTAAAATTATTACACCCTATAGCGTTATATCACTTAGTGGAAAATAATACAATTGTTGAACCATAAAATAAAAAAGAACCAAAAATCACCATATTTGTCATGAACATGCCACGAACACCATCTGACTAGACAATACATAGTGATCTGTTTCAAGCAAGAGCCTCGAGAGCAGATCAAGCCCCTTCTAAACAAAAGGCACTGTCCAAATAATGAGCTTATGATACATATTTTCTATTCCAAGGCACTATTAAGTGGGCGATTTTCACTCATTAGTTTGTTTGCGAACTGCCTGTGCAACGTCTTATATTTTAACATAAAATGCAAATTAACATAAATAAATAAAAATGGCCACTCACCATTTGCGCCACTGGGTTCATTGTTTGATGCGATGTTCCTTATACCCCCAGCTCTTGAGTTTTAATTCAACAGATTGTAGTTTTCTGAATTCTTTAACTCCAAAATACTTTAAAGGCCTAATCTGCAATTTACTTGCTCATTTATAATAAATTAGCTTTCAAGACGTAAACCCACTGTTAAGAAGCCCAACAGCTGTGGATTAAGGGTGGTAGGTAGTACGTGTGTATACCGTCACAATCTCCCAGGATGGACTGTCGAGGCGTGGGTTGGGCAGGATTATCAGCTCCACATTGGATGTCGAAAGTATGAACACATTATTTAAATTATTAAACTAGTGGTTAGGCATTTGAATAAAGTTGGTGCCTGGATATTGCAATGTTGTTGTGCAAAGGAATTAACTGGACGAGGTAATTCAGACTTGACCAAATGTGGGTGGATTGAGGGAAGTGTTCTTTGGAAAATGTCTTCACGTGTGCAGAAGAGGGTAACACTTTTCTTCGTGACAAACGTTTGAGTAAAAAAATGCCCTGTAATAAAATTGATATAAATGTCCAACAGACCACATTTCCGAAAGCAAAAGAAGCTTTATTTTTAATAACACCAGAAGATTTTTAAAAGCTTAGCAAATAACATTACAATATTACAGGATCTTACCACGCAAGTTCCATTGTCACATTTACAAACAAAATGAAAAGGCATCTGCGAAACTAACTTTGTACAAGCCTATAATTTACAAAAAAAGTGTATTTAATGTTGCGTAAAGAACCTACCTTTAATGATATACCTCAAATGCAGTTACACTTCAAATCGCTATGGGCTGTACACACTAACACTTGTATAGATAAAACAAAAACACGAGGATCAAAGTTTATATACGGATATTTAAACAAAAAAGCCACTATTCTCGTCAGCCTTTGCATGATCGGTGGTCAATCCTCCCGTCGCCCCCAACCTTAGTCTATTGCTTTCAAAATCTGTCTCTCTCCAACGATTTAAATGTTTATATTGCTATACGGTTGTTTACTCGAATTCTCTTTACTGGTTGTTTACAACATTTTAGTTTTCAATTCACCTCCTTTTACTTAATCCAGATCAGTAATTAATGTGAAAGTGCCATCATACTTTGTTGTACAAGTTCAAACTACTTCAGGCAAAGAGATTCACTGTTTGTTTAGACACAAGTTAACCCCCATGAAAAAAAACAAATATTTAGCTTAATATTTACACAAACCTAATGCATGTCTGCCTCTATTTTTGCAATTACGTACATTTTTGAGAGCAGCTGTTATGTTAAAACTAAAGTACAACGTGTAACCCTTTCATGTTTGTCACCAAAACATAACAGCCCCATTCTGTTAGCATGTTTATATTATCAGTGCATAAAAATGGACCAAAAAATGTTGATAAGTGTCATTATCTTATGATTCACATTTTTGTACGGTCACTCTTATTTACTTTCCTGGGTTTTAAATCAAACCAAGTCCCCTCTGGTATGCCCATGAATTGGCCCGAATGCCTTCTTAAGTTCTTGTTTCAAGGTGAAAAGTGGCTGCGTTGACGCACTGAACCTTTACATTAGCATGTACTTTCATTTGAGGAAGTTCAAATAAATGTTATTGATAAATTTAGATCTCGGCGAACATTTGTGTCTCACAATGCTCTCATTCACGTCCATGCAGCAAGATTAAGTCTTCTAGATCACCTCTCAGAATCCACAAGCATATTCTTAATAACTTGAAAATTACTTAAATGTACATCATGGCCAGACAACCGCTTATGTGCAAAGTTGAGCTTAATTGGATCCCATGTGCCTGGTGTTCATGGTTCGCAAAAGCACAGATTCAGTACAAGACACATGCAATTGAATCCAAAAGTTTAGAAATTGATTTAAGGCATACCAGCGGTTGTTGATCACAAACAGGTTTAATGACTTAAATTTTTATTTAAAACTTTCGTGACTGCAGGAATTCATATTCTTGGTTCTTTCGGTAAAGTCACATAGATATAAAAAAATCTAATTTAAAAGCAAAAAACCCATGACGTTTCGATCGCAGCACAAGCAGTCTTCTAATGAAGCAGTCTTCTAATGAAGACTTCTAATGAAGACTGCTTGTGTTCAGAAGACTGCTTGTGTTGCGATCCAAACGTCATGGGTTTTTTGCTTTTAAATTAGATTTTTTTTTAATATCTACGTGACTTTACCGAAAAAACCATGAATAGGTGTATTGACATAGAATCACTCGAATTCTCTTTCAACCCACTTAGTGCAGGTTGAAGACTTTATAGGTGGCCCATATGGAAAAAGAGATTTAAGGTTTGTAATCGAGTGCTTAATATACTGGATTGGAATATTTCTACCTGTATAAAGCTATTTATTATTATAGCCAAATGAGATGTATTATATTACACAGGTTAAATCCAAAGCAATGGTTTAACAACTGGCGCTCACAATGACAAAGTTCGAGTTATTTATCACAATTAGTGTGAGCTTGCACTCAAACAGGCAAATGCATCACAGCACCTTTACAAATGTGTGTGCGTTTTCAAAACTCATACTGGCTCATAAGAGAATAAGAAATGTACTTTTTTGCCATGGGGTTTTGTCTTTAGATTTACGGAAAAAAAATGTTTTTTCGAACGGGGTAGTAGGACAGTTTGTGATGGCTGCATTGCTTTGCCGTCACACGTCAGTGACAGTGTACTGGCCATCGGGCCGCCCATCACGAGACCGCACACGCAGCGTGGCACTGCGCGGTACAGCAGACGACTGCTGCTGTGCTTCTGCTGTGTCTATCACTGCTCCTCCAGTACCGCCACCTCCGCTGGTGCTCTCGGCCCCTCCATGAGCACCATGTTGCCGTGCGATCTGCCGTTCTGAGGCTCTTAGTGGGAGGCGACCTGTCCCAGAATCTTGGCGTGCTACTAATGAATCTGGCAGCAAAGCCGGCTGGCGGTGAGGTGGTGGTGGAGGAGGCATGTTGGTGCGACGGCGCCGCCCCAACAACCTAGAACCATCTTCATCCGCAGCCAAATGTGGGGCAGCGTAGACGGCTCTGCCGCTGCCTCCACCCTCACCAGCCAACGGCATCTGCCCCGAGCGGCCAAGACGCATTCCTGCGAGTTGCCGAGAAATGGACGCCGCTCCTTCGTTGTCTTCGTAATCCTGTTCCTCGTCGTCCCTGTCAGAGCTGTCATCGCTATCAGCTGGGCTTGGAGGACCGACACCAGCCCTCATCTGGTGCTGGGGGGCAAAGGTCGCAGGCCTTGATGGAAAGGAGGACGTGGCTCCGGAGTCTGGCAGAGGGTCCACAGAAAGAGTAGAAGATGTAGCCACACTACTTACTGGAGAACTAGGGGAGGCTGCAGTGATGGTAGATGGCCCTGCAGAAGCCAAAAGTCCACCTGAAGCAACCGAGCCACCAAAGGCAGCTGACGAGACTCCCAGTGCTGCCGAAATACCACTCGATATAACGGAGGCAGCGCTCGACAACATGGAAAATCCACCTGCCACAACAGATCCAGAGCCAGAGCTGGTGCCAGCGACTGCCCGATCAACGCCGTCCACGCCAGAAGCATTTGCAGGTGACACCGCCGGCGCCGTAAGATCCAAGCGCAGGCCTGCAACGCCCTTCTTGGGTGCACTCAGCAGGTCACGTTTCATTTTGCGGCGACGAGATGGCTCGCTGCGGCGGTACTGCACCATGGCCTCCAGGTCTGCCACGTAAAGGTAGCCAGCGATGAGCATTTCCATCGTGGTGCTGCCACGCGCGAACGCTTCCTCCAGCTCCGCGCTTGTGCGCTCGTCGTACTGCCACCAGCCGTTGCGGCCCTCGTAGTACCAGGCATTGGCAGTGCGCGGCTTAAGCGGCACACCTTCAGAAGCACCTCCAGCCACGCCCATCGAGCCCGATGATCTCCGCTGCTGCTGCTGCGCAAGCGGCTGGCCGTCTGAAGTGGAGCACAGCAGTGTGGGCCGTTCCAGGAAGTCAGGTGGAATCTCGCTGCGGCATAGGGCACACCTGCGGCTCTGCAGCGCGACTCCTTTGGCGCAAAGGAAGCAGAAGACGTGGCGACATGGTAGGCGTGCTGGGTGCACGCAGGGTTGCAGGCAGATGGCGCAGTCTGGCACGACAGGACGTGCGGGCGGCGCCTCGCCGGGCCCCACGCCCGCACTGGGCGGCTCATCTGTGCCGAGCACACGGCACCCCGACATTGTTGTTTGTTGCCGAGGGCCTGCAGAGCACAATGATACGTAGCGAATGTGATTAGACATAAGAACACTGGGTAACAGGTGCATCTGACCATACATTTCAATACCGTTCCAAGATTGACACAAAAAGACATTCGTAAACAACTTGTCTCTAGGCAACCAGTGAAAAAAAATGCCACCTATGTGCTGGTCTTCATAGCCGCAGTTGCACACATTAGGCATACCAATCAGCAGCATCATGTTCTACAGCACAGATATTTTTCATTCTATCTCATTAAGCTCTAACATGGTAAAATAAAGGCAACTGAACAGTTTCTGTTAAGTCAATTTATAAATCCAGCAGTCTTTTTAAAGACCTAAAGGCACAGGACATCGCCTGCCTCCAGGGGTTCGGCTACATTCTACCCTAGAGGAAGATTAAGTCCAACATCGACGAGCCAGCCCGACCTGAATCGGTGTCTTTTTATTGACTAAAATAATTGACGTAGTTGAAATAGTTTTGCGTGAAAAAATAAAGTCTACCATTTTCAATGTCCGGGGAGAATATATATTAATCTAGAACTTAACAAAATGGGCCTATTGGGTCTAAACTTTCATTTCCTCTTTACAGCGACGTCAACTTGTTCCATGGCCTGGAGGGATGAAATCGGCTTATGCACAGATTCTTAGGTTTTTTCGGTAAAGTCACGTAGGTAAAACATCAAAATTAATAAAAAATAAAATAAAGATCACGACGTTTCGGAGGCAACGTCGTGATCTTTATTTTATTTTTATTAATTTTGATGTTTTACCTTCGTGACTTTACCGAAAAAACCTAAGAATATGAATCATTGCAGTCACGAAAGCTTCAAATCTAGAATAATGCACAGATGGCTACGTCAATCGATACGTCGCACGCTCGTAATAAGGTGTCGACGGCTGACAAAGGCCTTCATCCAGCAGCAGATTGACCATGGCTGATGGTGACGATGGAAAGGCCTACCCTATGAAAAGGGGCTTTTATTCGCCCAATATTTTTTGAACATTGACCATCGATGTTGGGCCGACACTGGTCAATAACTGGCTTCTTTTAAGTGGCCCACTTATAACAAATATACATCACCATTTTCTAGCCACTTCAGGGGCGAGGACTCCCAGCGATACATTTACGCGTGTACATCAACACATTATTCATCATTTGCATCCTAAGACCCTATTTATTATGTAGGATGACATCAAACTCGAGTCTTTCGAACGATATTTTAACCGTCGAATATTTAATTAAGACAATCCCTTAATCTGCCGTCGTACATTCTCCCCTCGGCAGCCATTCTATCCATATAATTTCTTACCTTAGTTCATCTACAACGTACAATTGTAAAAAAAAAAACGCTTCCACAACTTAAGTGATGTATATTAAGTCGATAAATAATGACTAATAATGCAATTCCAGTGAAACGCGTAGTAGGGCCAAAGCCACGGCCTTTCCTTGAACGCTTGGCCAGGCGAGATGGCCTCTCGCCGGGCGTTGCGATCAGGCAAGGAGCAGGATAAAGCGCCTCGAGCCGCAAACAGCAGCGACATTATCCAACCCATGTGACATACATTCTCCAAAATGCACACGACTATTGCTTAAATCACCTCACCACGACCTCCATAAAACATACATTATACCACTCCGCGTAATTTTAACACGAACGCGATTAATGTCACACTTGAGCAAATAAGCCCTGCGTCGTCTCTAAAGGCCGCACCGAACAAAGGTATCTTAACACGTCCTGTGGCGCGCGACACTTACGTGATTCGAACAGACGAAGATGTTATTTTAAAAGTAAATCAAATACGCAAGAACACAAAATTAACGAAAAGGTAGGAGTTTTATTGCGATACGCGCAAGACGATTGACGCGTTCCGCGGGCGCCCAACAGCCGTTCAATTCCCGGCACCGAGGAGAGGCGGGGCAAGCGACGTCGCCTTTGTGTGCGGGTGACGTCAACGGACGTCATTTGCAAGCCCCCACCCCCTTTTGTTATTTTATTTCTAGATTTGAAGCTTTCGTGACTGCAAGGATTCATATTCTTAGGTTTTTTTCGGTAAAGTCACGTAGGTAAAACATCAAAATTAATGAAAATAAAATAAAATAAAGATTATTTTATTTTATTATATTATATTATTTTTATTAATTTTGATGTTTTACCTACGTGACTTTACCGAAAAAACCTAAGAATATTTTATTTCTATTTTTACACAAACTGGAAATACCGTCGTGATTAATTGGACGCGCGCGGGTTATTTTTGTACCCTTAATAAGGGTGGTGTGTGTGTGTGTGATACGCATCTTTTGTTTTAATTACTTGCTTCCGGTCACTTTTTTTGACCGCTGTTCAACAACAACAACACAAATGCGTGCGATTGATTTGCAGCGTTGTCGATTTTTGGTTTTACTTAGTCGAGGTGTTACTTAATCTCCTGATTAAATAAAGGCTAAATACATTATTCCGTGCATCAAACCGACAATACAGAATGATCCGTATAGAGTTCAAATTATAAAGTCCACAGTCCTTATAATATGAACGTTTGTGGGGGATTATTGCACATTTTAATAATGGTTGTGATTTTATGCGTGTTATTTTTACTTGTGTGGAACAAAAACATTGTACTATTTTGAAGTCTGAATTTATTTATTATTCCATGCATTAAATTTACAATACATGTTCACTCATTTATGGATACCCCCACTATAATTATGAGAAATTATAGTAAACTTAATTTTATTTCAAAGCCTCCAGATGTGTTTAACAAATTTCAATACACTTATTACATGTGTTAAAGCTCTGTAAGATATGGAGCTGTCACTTTCACAATATTTAATTACCTGTTGGGTAGAAACGAAGTTAGCAATTCCCCCTTCGCATATCTAACTCTACATAAAATATAGAAACACATTTTTACACAACCCATCAGCTCCACGACCTTCTAGGAGGGAATAATTTCAGCAGCATTGTTTAAAGAAAAGGAAAACTCTCCGCTTGATTCGACACACAGGATCTCATCAGCAGTCAGTCTTGCTTAAATAAATATCATTGCTTGTCTTGAATCAATGATGCTGAAATTATGCACTCTCAGAAGGCGTGGGTCTGATTGATTTTGTGAGAAATACATTAAAATATACATTACGTAGAGACGGATATGTGAAGAACGCATTGCATATTTATATTATCCACAACGACGCCAATTATTATTTTGTGTTCAGAAGGTCACAAATAAGTTCGGTTTCTATAAATTAACCTTATGGGGGGACCCAGGGGTCCAGAAAAAACGGAAGTCAAAATCGTAATTCATTAATTTATTTTTGGCGACTCCGTCCCACCGCGCACACAAACGCAGCGACCCATCTGGCGCGGATCATTTTGTTGTCGTCCAAGCGCAGCAGCGAGGACTAGTGCGCAGAAGAGCTGAGAACAAGCGAATGCACTCCACGCTCGGGTATGGGCAGGATCATCAGTCTTATCCAAAGCTGCTCAAACTCCCTACACGACTGAAGTCATCTACACTATGGGAACCTCAAGGACAGTGCACATTATCAGAGTTATGTTCTTTTGTTTGTATTATGACTGCAGCTATTGCGGTCTATGCAAACATGACTCCTTGTAAAAAGGTGTCAGTTTTGTTGCCAGATAGAAGGGTAAAAAACCAATTATCACGACTGAAGTCCTTTATTTGTCATAACGGTATGCATAATACAGTGAAACTGCTCTCTTATCTTCATTATTATTTGTGACCTATCAATGTCTGCAGCCAGGATCAATCGATGGCAATCCTATTACCTGCAGATATTTAACAGATGAAATGCTTTGCACCGTTAATTCCTCCTGTTCGATAATACTTCTCTTGTCCGTATGCATCTGTGCAGATAGGTTGTACTGTTTACAAAGTGTGTTCACAAATCCACACTGAGAAACACGATGATTGACAGAGGGGTGTAAATATTTTTTTTTGATAGTGTATTTAAATAGAGATAAGTAGTTTTCAGTTTTAAAGGTATAGTTTAACAAGACAAAACCTGCCACCATCTTTTTAAACCTATTGGTGAAAAAGAGCAAAGTTGTTGTTCACATTATGTTTATGCGAGAGCCGGGGACTTATGGGACCCGGGGTACTGCCATAAGGTTCAAATGTATATGTGCAATGTTTTAATTATTGACAGTGTTACCTCTTTAACTGAAAACTAATTTAAGGACAATATTAACTTTTCTTCGGAGCACATCGTGAAGTCAAAAAGGGCCACATAGCTAAACCTTAACTTATTTGTTCACGAATCACAGTGCTTGAACATGTACCATTTTCACCATCAATCCAGCAGCATGGATTGCAAAACAAGTGTCACGTCAGAATCTTTATTTATCTCGGAGACATCCGATGATCTACGAAACTCTTTTTCACAAATGTCCAGTAGGGGCGGGTCACAAAATTGCAACAACAAATGCAGAGAAAAAAAATGATAGGAGTGCAAAGTATCGGAAAGTTAAGCATGAATCGTGAATTGACAAACACGTTTAAATGAAAGGTTGGCGGGGTTGCAACGAAGTAAAGTATAACAACGGATATTTCTGCAGCAAAATATCCCTTTGTCCAATTCTCCTCTTCACCCCCCCAACCCTAACTTTGTAGCCCGGCCCATCGGCGTGGTGGTGACCTGTGGCAGTTGCACTGCCTGCACTCTTACAACATTGTCCTTCATTGCAAGGGCCGCGTGCCATTGGCGGACCCTGTGACGGCCTTTAATGTGGACCCCCGACCATCACCCATTTATATTTTGCCATTCCGCACCTTTACTTTCCACCAAAGCGGGGAGCATGCAGGGAGGTTCAATGCCCCAAATATTGTTGACCTTGCTTTCTTACGCTGGGTGAGGGACATTGTGAGAGAGACATTGTTCTTCCATAGCAAGAAAACACCATCGCACGATTTCCTGATGCTAACAGAGCATACGATGCCCTACAATAACACATTTTCCTTTTGCTGATGTCCGTATTAAAACGGCTGTACGTCGTATGGACATTAAAACTCAATTTCCCTGTACAAGAATACGCTATGTTAATGTAGTGAATCGCACGTATAATTATCAATGCAGTTAAAACTATTTGTTGTTGTTGGCCGTATTGAAACGGCTGCACGCCGCACGGACCTGAAAACTAAATTTCCCTCTTGATTTGAAGCTTTCGTGACTGCAGGAAGCCATACTCTCTGGTTCTGTCGGTAAAGTCACGGAGGTATAAAATAAAATAATTCACGACGTTTCGGGCGTAACGTCGTGGTTTATTTTCTGTTACACCTACGTGACTTTACCTAAATTTCCCTGTACAATAATACAGAGTTAAACGGCAATGGGTTGGACACGGTACGTTAACGCAATGAATCACACGTGTAATTATTCTCAACGGAGGAGTTAATGATGACCGTGGATTGGGATTTTTACCAAATCGTTCGTTCCACGACGAATCCAAACAGTGGCTTTGCTTCTAGATTTGAAGCTTTCGTGACTGCAAGGATTCATACTCTTAGGTTTTTTCTTTTTTCGGTAAAGTCACGTAGGAAAAATAATAATATTAATAATAATAGAAATAAAATAATAAATAACGACGTTTCGGAGGCAACACAAGTCTCCGTCATCAGGTGGGACCGCCACAGCTAAATTTACTGTCTCAAGTGAGGACAAATCCAAGAGACAAGCTCTTAAATACTAATTAAGGGGGAGGGGGGCTTATCTGAATGTGGTAATATTTATTTTTTTCCTACGTGACTTTACCGAAAAAACATAAGAGTGGCTTTGGTGCCTTGGTGGTGGTGGGTGGTGGTGGGTGAGGGGGGGGGGGTAACAACGCCATCGTCAGCTCGCATCTCATCTTGATTTGAAGCTTTGCATTTTGTCTTGATTTTAAGCTTTGCATCTAGCCGCTCAACCACCCACACATATCAAGCGGCCCTCTCGCCATTGGCTCGTCTCGTAACGTTGGGGGCCCTCCCGTCAGTGGCAGCAACTTCCAACCACCACCAACCCCCCACCAACCCCCCACCACCCCACCAACCCCCCCACCACCCCACCACCACCAACCCCCCACCACCTCACCACCACCAACCCCCCACCACCCCACCACCACCAACCCCCCACCACCCCACCACCACCAACCCCCACCACCCACCACCACCAACCCCCACCACCCACCACCACCAACCCCCACCACCCCACCAACCCCCCCACCACCACCCCCCCCACCACCACCACCCCCCCCCACCACCACCACCCCCCCACCACCACCACCCCCCACCAACCCCACCCCCCACCACCACCAACCCCACCCCCCACCAACCCCACCCCCCACCACCACCAACCCCCACCCCCCACCAACCCCACCCCCCACCACCACCAACCCCACCCCCCACCCCGTCTTTTGACGGCACTGAGCCGGAAAAGGCCGACAGTAGCACGTGTTCGTTGCTGCGCGCTCGCCCTTGTTGCCCTTGTGTGTGTCGTCCTTGTGTCACGAAGGCACATGTGTGGGGGGTTTTCTTGGGTCTACGCGGTGGTGCCTTTTCGTTGGTGTTATTCGAGTGTCAGTGTCGTTTTGTAGCAGAGCTCAACGTCGGCGTGCGACGTTTGGGAGGATACAACGCGGTGGAGACGGGCGGGTGTTGCGGCGTTGTTTTTTTTTCGTGAACGTTTTGAGCGATAATCTCCGTGCGGATTGTGTCGTCTGTCGGCTCGCCTGCCAACCCGTTGCACTTGTTTGTTATAAAACACAAGGGTGGTGGTGGTGGGGCGAACAATGTCGCAGGCTACCGAGACAACGAAGGGGTGGGGTGGATAAGAGACGGGTTAAAGTAGCGATTTAATAACCATCGTATACGGTATTATATGATCGGCATCATGGGACCAGATGCTTAACGGGGATTAATTGCGGAAAGGTAGGGCGGGTGGGTTAAGGTGCAAGTGGTAGACGCGTAGTAATCGTTAGCCACACGCTTGCCTCTGTACACTTATCACAATTGATACAGTATACGGTACTGTGTTGTATCGCAATTTGGGCAAAAGGTCACTGACACGTCGTGTGTAGTTCTCGGTGACTTTGAATCTCCACGTGGTGTGATATTGCATGGGGAAGAGCGGTGCAAGAACATCATCCTCACTGCCACACGTTGTTCCAATCGACATTGAATCCTTAAGAGTTAGCCGCTGTGTTTAATCCTTCCGGTAGAACAAACACACGAGTCCTGTTTTGTGGGCCACGTGTAAACGGAGTACAATCTATAAAGTACACGAATTTTTTTTAAAATATAAAACCCAACCAAGACGGAATGTAAAAAAATGTAGGGTAAAGTTGACATTGAATGCGGGGTGTGTACGTTACGTCGTGTGTTGATTAAATGCGAACAACTTTGAGAAGTCATCTTTACGCATCATCTTCGTAGAATGGTCGATGACTGCGTTGTCAATGTTGATGGGTGGTAGAAGTGTCCGACGGTTATAAGTTCAACGTTCTCAGAACGGTGGCTCTCAACTTGTTTCGAATTTGTCGTAAGTTTGTAGTTCTCGGTCAGGTTTCTTGCGCACATCAAAAACAGCTGCCCAAAAATCACCCGTCACTGAGCAAAGGGCCAGCAACTAACAGCAACTATTGCAAGTTTAACAGATTCGAGTTGACCTACAATCCTTCCGATATGAAAGATCAGTTGCGTATCGGCTGTACGATGACATGTCACGACCACGCCGTTTGTTATGCCGACTAAGAGTGGAATATAATCAAGAGTGATATATAAAGACTTGTGTAGTAGCTGCGTTAATGTTGTTTGGCCAGCAAAAGCGCGGTCGGTGTGTGCGATTGTGAAGATTTGCTGGATGGGCCCATACAACATTACGCGATTATAAAAGCAGCCACCGAACTGTGAGTTTGGAATTCTCTATTGCCCAGGTGTGTGCGTGGTCGCATGCGACTTCACGCGTGATAGTGTTGAGTGTTTCTCTTAAGTCATTGACGGTAACTGCAACGTGTCAGGAAGTTACTAAAGTGTCCGAGTGCAGCTGATTGATGTCAAGAGTTTAGCAGGTGTATGTTTGATGTTTACATCGATTTTCGCGATGGCTTTAGGCTTAGTATAAGCCGTACGTCCTTATTATATAATAGGCGCGGTTTACATTAAAACAGTGACTTTCGGATGAGAAGTAGAAGTTGCTGCTGCCTTTTATTCGATTGTACTTGAATTTAAAGTGTTGGTATGTCTAAACATTAATTCTCGGTTTATTTAAGTATTTAAGCAATCGTAATTTTTTTTAAAAGTACGTTTAAGCTTTCAAGCCAACCGTGTTTCATTAAGAACAACAAAAGCTCTTCTACACACAACAAGACACAACTTCAGCTTTGTGAGTCTTGATTAAACTGTTGGGCAAACACTGGTGGTGGTTGGTGGTGGTTGGTGGTGGTGGTTGTTGTGCACCGTGGACCTTTGGACGAGTTTATTTTCTTCGGTACATTTGGATCCAACTTATCATTGATAAGGCAATAATCTTTATTAACCAAGGGGTTCTTCTGGAGGACAAGAGTTTTTTTTTCTATACTCCAAGGATTTTTGTGTCAGCAAAGCGAGGTGGCTCATACAACAGGGGTTCTCGTTAATCAATTACCGAGCAGGTTTTTAAGTGGACTCGCTTTGCCCATCCGTTGCACGAAGTTTCTCACTCGACCCGACTCAACCAACAGATTCCTTCAAGCCAGAGAGAGAGATTATAATTTATAGAAACAAAAAGTTGTGAGAGATTGTTAATTCAAGAGCGCGCTTTGCCAATGGTTAGTTTGCGAGATTCATCGTTGCCATGCCGGTTTAGAAGTAAAAATATATCCTGCTGCTTGCTGCCTTTAACTTAATTGTCGCATCGCACAAAAAATACGACACTTGAACTTTAGTTCGTATTTTACAACGCAATCTCAGGGATTATCTTCGTTTTACAACCCGCTATATTTACGTGCATAAAAGCTACGCCGAGACAATTTTTTCCGGGGCCTCTCCAACCCCGCACATCAGTAGGGCGCACGCCAGATAGCTTTTTTATTTTTGGGGTAGCAATGGCCAAGCTCACTTTCTCATGGGTGGACTACCTCATCTTCGCCATCCTGCTGGTCATCTCCACTGGAATTGGCCTCTACTACGCCCTGAGCGGTGGTCGCCAGAAAACCACCCAGGAGTTTCTGCTGGCCGACAGGAGCATGGGCTTCGTGCCCGTGGCTTTGTCGCTTCTCGCCACCTTCCAGTCGGCGGTGGCCATCCTCGGGGTGCCCGCAGAGATCTACACCTATGGCACTCAGTACTGGTTCCTGGGAGTCAGCTACATCTTCGGGCTCCTCATTCCTGCCCACGTTTTCCTGCCCCTCTTCTATCGGCTCAAGGTGACCAGCGCCTACGAGGTGGGTGCCTTGGAACAATCGGCGTGGCTTGGAGTGGCTTGTGCCATGCGCCGTTGCAAACATGACTCCTTGTAAAAAAAGGTGTCAGTTTTGTTGCCAGATAGAAGGGTAAAAAAACTCTTATCAGGTGTTAAGTTGTTAAACCACCAAACTGAAATATCATCAGAGTATTTTTTTGTTTGCATTTTGACCACAAGTATTGTGGTTAATGCAGACATGATTCCTTGTAAAAGGTTTCAGTTTGGTGTTTTAACAACTTAACACCTGTTTTGTTGCCAGATAAAAGGGGAAAAACCGATTATCATGTTTGCACATTTGTCATGTGAGTAGCATTTGAACCTTATGGATGGTACCCCGGGGTGCCACAGTATCCCGGCTCTCGCACAATGTCCGTGATGCAGTCATTGTTAGTCTGTTGATGGTCGGCGATGCGTCAATCGACTCATCTCGACGAGCTGTACACGATGCACCACCACGGTGACACGTACGAGCGTTCAGGGTTTCGGCGCAATCGTCCTCGCTGCGTCTCGACATCGCGGAGTGGCACCGATTTCGGATTGATTGGTACCCCAGTCGTGGAGTTAAATAACACCCCTGGAAAAAATAGTGTCCCAGAAATAACATTTAATTGCCTGGGCCATTTTGTATTATTTGGTACCTTGGGGTACCGCCATAAGGATAATTTGTCTTCTGTTTAATGCTCTTTTTCTAAGACACTCCTGGCTCTAATCTCTTGAAAACAAAAAAAAGCATCGGTCTTAAAACGTTCACAGGAGGGTCCTACATAGACATGTTTTTCAATTTCTATTATGTTTAGCATGTGGGAGAAAATCTATGTGTCTGCGATTCAGGTATCCTTTTGCTGTACTGGTAACCTCCCAGCCCAACGGATATGAGGTTTTTTTTGCAGGAAACCAAAGTACCCAGAGAAAGTACACTCACACGATACCATTCATTTAGTTACAACACAACATTACTTAATAATATTTTTTGTGAGAAATGTTGAAGGTTTGGGAAGGCCTTCATTTAGCAGTGGGTTGACCACGGCTGATGATGGTCACGATGAAAGTGCCCTAGTAGCCCAGCAGCACTGTGTTGGATCGAACACATTATGGCCCTAGTCAGTCATTTTGACACTTGAATGAATCTCTCCTACTCTGGTACCACATTAACCAAAGGCGTTAATGTGTTTGGGGAAGTTAATTGAGTCGCATGGCCACTGCGTGTGCAGTTCATGCTAAGTTATTTTCAATTAGTTTATTATGATGGCCTACTTATGTATGTAAATATAACATTTTATGGATGCTGTCATGGCATAAATGGTGAGCACACTGTACTTGGCAATGCAGCAGTCACCAGTCTAATCGCTCACCACAACAGTTGAAACAATGGTGCAAGTTTCTTAAATCCCCCCAACAGCATTACTCTAAATTTCGATTTAAAGCTTTCGTGACTGCAGGGATTCATCTTCTTGGTTCTTTCGGTAAAGTCACGTAGAAGGGAAATAATAAAATAAAAAAATAAACATAATAAAATAATTCTCACGACGTTTCGGCCACAACGCAAGCAGCCGTCCTCAGCATTACTCTAAATCAGTGTTCTTTACTAATTTTCAGAAGGGGGCCACTTTCGCCGATAAGTTGTCAACGTGAGGCCCGCCACACCGCCTGCAAGGGGTGTTTTTACGTATTGTGTATTGTCGGGGGCCGCAATAAAGGCTATCAAGGGGACCGCCAGTGGCCCACGGGCCTTGCAATTAAGAACACCGCTCTTAATATTTATCGGCAGGTTGCGTGTGGTGAGGTAAAGTCTGCGTACACCCACCTCTCCAAAGATATCTGACCAGCGTGGCCAACTCCCCTCGGCTTGAAAGGGGCTCTCCAGAGCTCCTTGCAGTGGAGGCCCTTCTGCCGGCTGTGCCATGAGCAGGCACTTGCAGGGCAGCACTTTTATTATGTTATTCTCTTTTATGGACTTAAAATCGGTAAAAAAAATATATGGGACAATAAGTGTTTTGTGCAAGGGCAACCTGGGTCAACAAAGTGAGATGTTACAATTAACTTTATGTGTTATAGTGTACTTAATACATCTGTAACAGGAAATCGCACAGGTTATCAAAGCAAAGCTTAAAACAAAACATTTGTATCTTTGGTGTGCAAAGGGCAGGTAGAGTATATATGCTTGTGCGAGGAAATACACTTTTGCCTTGCTGTACGTGCCATTTGTCAACCCACTGCTGGATGAAGGCCTTCTTACACCGTGCGTTTCGTAAGGGTTATTTGACCATACTTCACCACGCTGATCAGTGCAGGTTGGTGAAGGGGGAAGCAGGGTGTGAGTGTATAAGTCTAGTATTGCAGTGGATTTTTTGCTGCATGAGTGCAGCGGTCAGCACAATTATAATTTGTAATTACATATATACAGTAAAAAAATTATATATTTTATTAACACTGCCTTATGAGAGAAAGGTCAAGTTACAAGCCTACATTGTGTCACAGCTAAGCAAGATTGAGCACGGATGGTGCTTATATGGGTGACCACACCGCACAAAAACTGTCATAGGGTAGCGGTGGGGTTATGTGGGGTTACATGGCGTTTGGCAGTAGAGGGCAGTGCAGAAAGAAATCAATCGTTGTACCCTGCTTATATGGTTCCACATCTACGCTTGCTGCCTTCAACCCACACTTACCAGCGCGGTGAAGTATGGTCTGACAATCCCCATGATTGACGTGGCATGGGGAGGCATAATTCATCCAACTAGCGCACTGACAAAGGCCTGGACATTATTATTATTATTAACATGTGAATTGCTGTGTGAAAGCTTTGATGAATGCCACGACACATTTGTGTCAGAGTTACTATCATTTTCTGTATAACCATACGAGAGCCCATTGACACAAATCTCGTGTGCTCTGTTTGATGCGGAAGCAATTTGCAGTGGATAATGAAGTCGTGTGGTACGTGATGATTTGCAGATAATTGTGTTTAATGCTTACGTTGAGGTGGATGTTGTGCCTTTATTTTCACAGTATTTGGGGCTCAGATTTAACAAGTCTGTGAGGATTGCGGGAACGTTAACATTCATCTTCCAAATGGTAAATACTACACATCACCACTTTACAGTGCTTAACACCACTGCCACCATAATTCGTATCAATTGTTCAGTTAATTTCATCTCAAATCAATCTCATGTTCATAAATCATCCTGGGCTTTGATCAAATGGCCTGGAATACGCTCGATCTCTGTCAGATCTCGGGAGATCAGCAGAGCTGTGTCTGCATAGTGCTTGAATGAGTGTGCCATACATGAACCATGTGTTTTAGGCTGCTGATGTTGTAAGCAGAAGACAGTCCAAGATAATCTGTTGTACTGTACTATGCCCCAACTTCTGCTGGCCGCTACATCAACTGTCACTGATCAGCGTGGTGGAGTATGGTTAAATAACCCCCACTACCCCAATGGTGTGGGGAGGTCCGTATTTCAGTAGTGGATTGACATGTCATCATCTGAACACCACTGCAGTTGTAAAATTGTAACTGCTTTACATTGTAAACAGGTAACTCCTTAGATCGCTTATAAATATTAGAAATAAACACTGAACGCCTTTATTCTTTAAGAGATTAACATGCACAATCCTGAAAGGAGTTTATTTTTTTAGCATTTGGCAAGTGAGCTTTGACACCTGCAGTGAGCTTTGACCACAGGATCACCAATAATGTAAGGATCAAAGAGATTGAGTTTATTTAATTTGTTGCATGGATAATCACGTTTAGCCAGTTTCCTGGCTATTTTAATACATTCCTGCGGAGGGAGCTGGTAGGAACGTTGGGTTGCTCGGTCAATGGCCAGGGTCAACGGCGGCGTGGTGTATTCCGCAAATATGGCCGACTGTGAGGGCGGGCACAAGCCGGCGTGAGTAGATAAAAAGTTGAGTTTTATAAGGGCACCACGGGGTGACCAGCCCCTCCCCACCCAGCCCCACCCCTCCCACCCCCCACCCAGCCCCACCCACCCCACCTAGCCTCTCCCCACCCTCCCCTCCCCACCCATTCCCTCCCCACCCTCCCCTTTCTGCCCAACCCCTCCCTACCCACCCAGCCCCTCCCTGCATGACGGACACAATAATCCCCTGTGGGCTAGTGTAACCAGGAGGTTCCTACCAGTATAAGGGAGATCTGTGGTGTTTGAGCACAGATACAACAAAACAAAGGCAAAAACATCAAGAATGCAGAGAACAAGTACAGTATGGACCCTTGGGGTTTATTGCACAACTGATAAACCAGGTACTTAATGGCTATTTTCCTTGGAAACGTACATTATCACGAGTACATTTAATCAAGGTGCACGTTGTCCTTTTATTAAGGTGTAACAATTTAATTGGACCTGAAACGAAATGTAAGTTCTTTCAAGTATTGCGTGAAGGCAACTACCTAATCATAACTGATAAAGCCTACTGTGAGTCTTGAGTATTGCCTGTAATTCCCACATTGCATCAGGCTGTTATGAATGCTCTTAAGGGGAGGGGTTCCTTGCACCTTTCAGACAACATCGCTCTTTTCCAAGGATACATTAGATTTCGTGTGAGCTATGCTATTGCATTATTTAAAAAGGTTACAACTCGGTTTGGAAAATCGCCTAGCAAAGCTATTATGCAATACTAAATCGTATGACTAGTTTCCTTTTCTTCGTTGATGATAGCGATATTTCTCATTATTGTACATTAGATATATTTGTTGTTGGTGATCATACCAATGGACAGTTGTGGTTGCAGGGTTTATTGCAGGGCTTGCAATGGTCTATAGAAAGACCGATCTCAATTGCACCATAGTCTGCGTCATAACCAGCAATGTGTCCTTTGGTTTTACATTCATGATTAAAGGGGTCACGGAGGAGGTCTGCATTATACGCATGCACTCGTTTATTGTTTTGTCTCACGTCACCAGCTGTAGTGACACCAAAGGTCGTGATATATGAGAGTCTGCTTGGTACGTGAGGGTGCTGTGACATCAGCCACCTCGTACACCAAGCGTCATAATTTACAGCTATAAAACAATTACATTGAGAGACAGAGAATGTATCACGAGGATTGGAGAACGTGTGAAAGTCAGCCGGTGTATTTGAGTGTTAGGGAAAGATAAATGAGAGTGAGTGGGTGTGCTTGGGCAGCAACACACCTCTATAATGGGATGATGGTCGGTGATGAAAACTAATGCCAGAGTGGCAGCGGCTTTTGGCTGGCCATCGAATAAAGACGGTCACTACATCGCGTGCTTTCAGATGCGCTTCTTTGGCCGTCTGGAATGCTCTTCCAATATTAGGAAGCCACTGGAGCTATTCACATTTAAATCCAGATTGAAAACTCATTTCTTTGGAACTGCTTTTTGTGTTTAGTTTGTTGTCCTTCCCCCACACCTCTGATTAGCAAGGTTGACTACGTACAGTGCGAAATAAGTTTAACATACACACAAGAGATGATCTTGACTGCAGAGATGGAGTGATAAAATCAGCTCATGTGGAGGCTCCATCTTACCTTAGATGAGCCAGCGCGACCTAAATTGGCGTCCTTTAGCGACTCAAATCTTTGACGTGGTTGGAATAGTTTTGTGAGAAAAAGTCTCTAATTCACATTTTCAACAGGTTTAGAAAAATAAAATACGTGAATTCCCAACACTTCTATAAAGTGTCTTCTATAATATATAAAAGACAAGACATTAAGTTAAAAATATCAACAAAGCAATGTATACCCTAGCCCAGGGGTCGGCAACCTACGGTTCCGGAGCCGACTGCTTTGTAACGTTATTTATTAAGGACCACCGTCTCATTCACATGCATTGCGGCTCTTAAATTATTCAGTTTTTTGCGAATTCGAACAAAAATGGATCTCCTTGTTATTTTGGTTGCCGACCCCTGCCCCTAGCAAATATAAAAGTTTAAAATAAATTATAGCTTATTATTTAAACAAAATCAAGGAATAAATGCAAATGACCATCTCGCTTATGTATATGCACGGTATTACAGATCCACTGCAGAGTTGGGTTTTTAATAAACGTTCACATTTATTTAAACAATCCGCTGCTCCAACTTTACTTCGGGGAATCGCTTTAAAAGTTGTATAATCTTCTGTAGATGGCACTGGTTCTTCATGTTCTGCAGATATAGATGCCACCACCGCCATCTATTGCACAGCGGTTGAACTTATGACTCTCGATACGGACAGGTATGTTCGTATCTCTGAAAGTCGAATGTCCCTGTATTTTTAAGGACGAGAGTTGACCTTTGTGTTCTTTTCACACGATCACCCACAAGGTGGGGGCCCCAAGTACGTTGTTGCAACAGGTTCCCATTATGAAGGTGGAGAGATTTTTGCCTCACAACATCCGGCAGATGTGGCTCAGAAAATCTTAACTGGTTCAGAGTTTGCTTGAACAATTTCAGATGGGAATTATATCTCCGGCATGCCCATTCAGCATTGGCCAATAGACAGCATTTACGTGTGACCCACGATCCTCCATGATGTGCACCTAGTTCTATTATACACACACCTGTGACCAGATCTCCTCGGATCTCTGATGCTCAGCAGGATGGAGCCTATATATTGCTGGGATTGGGTGACCACCAATCACGAGAGGTGTTACTGTATAGGCTGTAGACCAATGGTTCTCAAAGTGTGGTAGCCGAACCACCGGTGGTCCTTGAAGGTCCTCCAGGTGGTCCACGGAGTTGTGATTCAAATGCAGGTTTATTGGAAATAATGGCAATGTTTTGACCTTTTGTGTCGGACATTAATGAATATTTTACTGATGATATTTAATGACAAATTTAAGTTAAGTAAACTACCCAAATCCTAAGATATAAATGCCCCCCCTAATAAAAACCTAATAGCTGCATAAAAAAATGTTCCAGTCATATTAATTATTTTGTTTGACTGGTATTTAGAGAGAAGCGAATGCGTTTTGTCACTAGCGTGGGGGGGGGGGGGGGGGGGCTGGCTGGCTGAGTGGTTCGCAGGGCGAAAACAGTTTGAAAAACTCTGCTCTAGACAGAGGAAAAGCGTGGTGGGCATCAGAGGGTGCTACCACACACGCGCTCCCTGCCTTCACCAACCCTGAACTAAGCAGCACAGGGAAAGATGGTTAAATGTCTTCATCCAGCAGTGGCTTGACATATACAAGTGCATGTGTGGATAATCTGCGTGTGTGTGTGTGTTTGCTGTTGCAGGTGGTGTATATGGGTGTTGTTCTCTACACCCCAGCTTTAGCTCTTAATGCAGGTAAATGTACTTCCTTTGTGTCTGGCTATAAATGCTTGTACACAATTCTGGTTGTGGCTCTCACGATTTACCCCCATTCCATTAAATTAACTTCTGTGGTTCAACTGAAGCCTTTGTTCCTTTTTTCACATTGTGAGGAATCTAGCGACTTCTGTTGCTGCTAAAGAGGTCGCGTAAACCAATAACTAACGGCCAACAAATTCAGTATGTTGTATTTTAGCTTTTGAGGTGTTGTATTATGTTTTGGGTTATTATAGCGTTATATATTAGTGTTGTGACAACGCCCAAAGAACAAGGAATGTGCCAAATTCCCCCAGGTCTCGGAAGCCAAGCAGGCTTGGGCCTGGATATTACACCATGCATGCTAGGTTCAGTTCAGTTCAATTCATTTATTAGGTATAGCCCTGTGAGCCATTCTGCTCTTGAATCGGGTGCAACCGCAACAAACAAAAACATGAACAAGAAACATCTTAAAGTGACTACGCGCAACAGAAAAATCCAGGAAAAAACAGCAAAGTCTTCCAGAAAAAGCACCGTATATCAATGCTGTGTGCAAAAATCCCAGTGGGATGCAAGTCAAACAATAACAACCATAAAACAATTTCAATTAAAGTTATCAGTCTAACTCTGTACAACAACAAACAAATAAGGCTAATCCAAAAGTTTTCGAAATCACCAAAATAAAGCTATAATAACAACGTAACAGTGATCATAGGCGGCTGCGGCGCTGTGCTGAGTAATAGTCCGCAGGAGACTGCAGCAAAATACATCATTGTACTGCGATGCTAGGCTTCCATGCCTATGCTGCCCACCTTCACCAACCCACGCTGACTAGCATGGTGAAGTATTTCGATTTAAAGCTTTCGTGACTGCGTGGATTCATATTCTTGGTTCTTTCGGTAAAGTCACGTAGAAGGGAAATAATAAAATAATAAAAATAAACATAATAATAAAACAGTGAAGTATTTTCAAATGAAACCCACACGGCGTGGGGAAGGAGGCGCTTTATCCAGCAGTTGACTTGCAAAAATAGCCGTGCATGTGCATTTGGTTTCGTGTTCCATGTTTGTCCGAGTCTCTGTGCCGTGCGTCACTCTTAGAATTTGTCATGTCGCCGCCGTGTGATGCGAAGTGGAGTGTTCCGTGTTAACGATTCAGTGTTGACTTGTGTTGCTTTGTGCTGCAGTGACAGGACTGAATGTGTGGATATCGGTGGTGGTGCTTGGAGTCATCTGCACTATTTACACGACCATCGTGAGTATTAGCCATGCATCCACACTTGAGCGAGTACGGCAAAGCATCAAAACAATTCATTCGATACATTTTCCGTTCGTGCCATCCTTATTTCCCAAGTCTGTCAGAGAGGTGCAGTATTTCGCAGATGGTTATCGCCTACAGTGTGCATTAGAGGTTTAGCGATTCATCTTCCCAGCAATCTTATTCTTTTGTCTGGCAGATGTAGATGCAGAGCAACAACTGAAATTTCACATTCAGGTGGTCAAGCCCAGATAACCGTGTCAGGAGCAGCGAAGTGTATCACTGTAATGTCTCCTTCGTATTTGTGGATTGGGCATTCCAAAAAATTATAGGAATTGTCACTATTTAGGATTTAAGTTTTTTAGTTTTTACATTTTAGCAAATGTAGTTACTGCAGCGGTTACATAAAACCATTGCATATGAATAAAAAAACATCAGTCCATTTGCACCATGGTATTTAAACTCATGTAGCTTTGATTTTAGAGTGTCCTTCGAGCACTTAATACCTTGTGTATTTCTTGGCTTTGGCATTTTGCTTTCTGAATGTGGTCAAATCATGTGGGCTTGTGTGTGGCTGTGCGCACAGGTTGAATTATTGAAATCTGTTGTGTATGCCTGGAGGAATAACATACGGATTAGTTCTCATCAGTTGATGGTATCAGTTGATATGCGGTGGATTCCTTCAATGCCTCCATTGAGTTATCGGAGTTTACAGTGACTCACTGCTTACATTGTCAACCACACACCATACCCTATTTGATATTCACTTGTGAAGGTAGTGGGCAGATCTGTATTAATTATTTTACTGTGACCCATGGAAAATGATAATGAATGTTTTCGAGGTAGATTACATCTCACAGGTTCTTTCGTGGAATCAGAGACCAGGTGTTTGATTAGGATATTGGTTTCCGCCCAAATCTGTCGTCATTTCACCGAGGTGGTAAAGCCAGAATTTACAAGACCTCCAGCTGTGGTAAGAACGATTTGCCTGCTTTCTGGTGGCGGTTCGGTAGAATGAAGTGATCCGAATGGACATGTTATTGATACAGGATTCTGTGTTATCTTGTACAGTACAAGCATGTGTGTGTGTCGGGGAGCAGTAGTGTAGTGGTTAGCCCACTGCTCTACGAACCTGGCAATCTAAACAAAATTCCTGCTCACGACCAATAGCAGTTGCGAACATTTGAGCTAGTCCTGAACATCCACTAGATTGATTCAGCCTTAAGTTAGTATGTGGTGCAGTGTGAAAACATCAGCACTGGGGATACAAATGCGGTTGGACATGGTGTTGGCCACCCACCCCCTTGTGTACAGTGCCGGCCTTCATAGGTGCTCACTAATAGCATTTGCCCCAACAGTCTGTGAAAGGCTATGCGGGGGATCTTTATTTTTGTATTTTTCAGGGCGGGCTGAAGGCGGTGATTTGGACGGACGTATTCCAGACACTGGTGATGGTCGCGGGCCAACTTGCCGTCATCATTGTCGGTGCTCAGAATGCGGGCGGCATCGCAAAAGTTTGGGAAATCAACAATAACGCTGGCAAAATATCTGGCATAGAGTGAGCACTTGCACGTACTATTAAATCACTGTGTATAGGCATTAGTACACGCATGTACACCTGCGCACCATAGTTGGTTGAATGGATCGTCACCCTTTGCATTTTTGGCCTCTGGGCCTGTGCTCAGTAACCATGGTAATAAAAAAAAGTGAGGCCTGCTCTGCTGTAATGCATGCTACCCTCACTGGCATTTTCTTACTTGTGTGTTTCACATTATAGTTATCATATCCTATTCATAACATGCATTGCAAAGTTTTGAATAATCCAGTTCCAGCCAATTCTACTGATTGGGTGATGTTTTTCATAACTTCAACCCGTTCATAAAACCACATGGCATGAGTGACCTGGAGGCCCATTATGGTTTTTGCCCTCTACCGCCAGATCACTTTACATATTGTGAGCAATACTGCAGTGTTCCCACCAGGTGTCAGTCACATCGCCCAGTGTGATCTCGTATGGAGAACATTTTTCAGGTCGTATCTCTTTTTAACTTGGGTCAAGATCAATATAGTGGGTCTCTGGTTCGTTCCAGTCAAAACAAGTTCTTACTCAACACCACAAATTACTCAGGTGCCATTACTAGATTAACAAATTACATGATTTATGTAGGATAAAAGGATAAATAAATAAAATGTGTTGATATTTGACAGTACTCTTGACTTGCGTTTGAAATCTTACAAAAAAGTCCCCATAGAATCAGAGATTAATTTCAGCTGCGCCTGTCGAGCATCCTGAAAAATATTTACACACCTGAGTATTCTACATCCACTATACCTCCTGCTACGGCTGCGGCTATTCCTATCTCCATGCCTACTGTAGTCTACCAGGGAACCATGAAAATATTCTGTGAGATTATTAAACTTTGAATAGAACCAACATTGCAATAATGTAATTCGGCTCCATATTGCTCTCTTGAATCTGTATAGCCTGTCGCTCCACACACTTTTCAACCAGCCACATGCTCTCCTTTTCCTACGCATGTGAGACACAATGCGACATAAAACCACATCATCCTAGTAAAACATAGAACGTTGGATGGCCAAACACATGCCAAAGTAGACAAATCATTGCAGGTTTACTGGGATGACCGTCCATCAATCAATATTTTGTGTGCCAATATCGCTCAATGGAGTATGGAGTAGGCTTCAGTGCACATTACAACAGAACGGGAATGGTACAGGGGGCACGGAACAACGAATGAAAAAAGAAACCCGTCACGTCCTCAGCAGCTAACACTGGCTGGGCAAAGTAAATTGCAACCGCACGCAAAATAAAGTGCAACCGTGCGCAACAAATCGCAAAAAGTTAAGCAGTAAATAAAAAATAATTAAAGAAATAAAAATTTCTGAGTTTTTCGTTTTATTTCATCGGATGACAAGCCTTAATAAATGTGTCTTGCACAGATCATGGAATTGCGAGACACTCGGCGCGTTTCGGATGTCCGTTGGTGGCAGGCGGCAGGGCAGTTCCTAGATTTTTGGGGCTGTGCTCGAGGAAGGCTTTGTCCCCCCAGTGTCGGGTGAAACATCCTGGGCTGTGCAAGTCTTGCCGTTCCCAGTGGAACGCAGTGTGTTGTATGTGCCTGACGATAGCGTTGCTGGTTTACTGGGATGATCGTGACGATGGACGTGTATGTTTGTGTGTCCGTGTGTAGCTTTGACCCGGACCCGTTTAAGCGGCACACCTTATGGACCCTCGGGTTCGGGGGTGTATTCATGATGCTCGCACTCTACTGGGGTCAACCAAGCTCAAGTGCAGCGATATCTGAGTGCCCGCTCTGAGAAGGAAGCAATCTTGTGAGTGTTGTTAGTTTGTTGTATTCATTCCAAGTTGTCTTCATCATGTTTGGTTGTTAGTACCATATTGTCCCGCAGTATAACCCACGGGGTATACCACTTTTTACAATCAAAACAAGTACCCTGCAGGGGTATATGGAGGTGCGGGCCATCCTAACATATTTTTACACGTGTGACATGTCATAACTCGTTCAATTTTTTCATGGTAGGACTATCCACTATGCAACACTTACCTTTGACTAAATCACTGTTGAATAAACCACTCGCACTAAAATTGCACATGTTATCACGTTTTAAATGATTCGAATTGTTTGTACAATGAAACGGCAATGTTTGAAGTGTGGCGCACTTTGTTTACCGGCGACGGGAGAGCTGGGAGGAGAGGCAACGGCGTTTGCGTTTCCGTAGTGCCGCTATTGTCTGCGCAGTGCGCAATCTACCAGTGCTAAAACTGTCCTTACTTATCTACCAGTTATGTGTTACTTATTTATTGGATATTTACTTTTGTTACTTATTTACTGTTTTAAGTTCACTCGTTTCTGGTTAGTTTGTTTTCTTTGTCCACGTTATGATTTAAATGTTAACAATTGATAGTGGAATGTATTACAAATGTAACTTCGTATTAATATGATGGAATTAAGCTGCGGTAACGACGTTAAAGATATTCATGCATGCGGGGTATATGGAAGTGCACGCTATCTGAAATTTGTTTTACACAAAACACAATTTTTGCGGGTTATATGCGTATGCGGGCTATATGCGGAAAAATACTGGTACTTCCAGAACACCCGGCGTCTTGCAGCGAATGGCCGTTGATGGACTTTGCTCATTATACGTTGCTGTGGATCATCATGGGTTAAAGCTAACATGAGCAGAACTCCATTCTGTTTCAACAAATCTGACGAATCTTTTTATTCCTGCGGCCTATTGGCCTTCCGGACTAATACACTGGTCAAAAGAAAAATAATTCTGGCCTGGACTTTTGCAGCTGTTTTAGACTAATTTCAGGGTGCTGATTCCAAATCTGATATCAGATTTGCTCTATCACATCTCATTTTTATGCTATCGGCATTACCCCATTTTCATTGATTTTACCCGAAATTAACTCTGTCACTTATGATTGCAAGTTGTTGCGAGTCAGTGACTGCTTTAGTGTTAAAATATGGTTCTGTATTTTTAGCATAGTGTGTTTATAATATAATTTTATGTAGATATCCACATTTATTTAATATTTTTCTTCTGCAGTTTTTATTGAAAATGCAATATTTGATATCTCAAAAACCTGATGTGATAGACAAAAACTGATGCCAGATTTGGAATCAGCACCCCCAAAATTACCTTAAAACCGTTGGAATACCTTATGCCGGAAAAAGTGTGTTGACCAGTGATATTATTCACACCAGTTTTGACCTTCTGGGTCTCAACAGGAGAGTGGAGCTTGTTAAACAAATGCTGATAGATTACCAGATGTTATTGGCAAGAGCACTCTGTAAAAACCCATTCAACGCAAAATGCAAAGGCATACATAAACTCATTGCGAGATTGCCGTAGAACATCGTGGGTAAACGCAAATATAAATCCGGCTTCCATTCATGTGGAGAGACCGAATGGAGTTAAGTGCATGTGTGTTGTAAAGACAATGATCTGCTCATTTGCTCTGGTGATTTATTTTTGTGCCCGCACGTGTGTCTGCATGGCGTCGTGAAGACATTGCTTTTAGTTGACGGGAGGCGGGGGCGGTGGTGGTTGGTTTATGTGCCTTAACGATGTGCATGCCTTTGTGCTCACGCTTGTGTGTGCCCGCGTGTACCTGCCTGTGTGCGCATGTCAGTTCCGTGTACTTGGTCTTCCCATGCCAGCAGCTGATGCTGGCCATTGGGTCCATCATGGGCCTGGTTATGTACGCACGCTATCAGGAGTGCAACCCCCGTGTGATGGGTGACGTCACAAGCAACGACCAGGTGCTGCAACCCTCTAACTGCACGTGCACACGGCTTGAACAACGCCTGCAAGTGTGTCTGTGCACGTGTGGTGGATACGGGGAGGATGCTGTCATCTCTTGTGCAGCCATGCAGCTACCCACACGCAAAAGCAAAAAAAAAACACATACGATTGCATGCTCATGGATATGTACGCGTGGATTTGCGTTAATGTATGCATGTGTTTGTAAACTCACACTCTCCTATGTGTGGCCATTGATACACGTGTTTAACCCTTGAAACAGTTTTAATCGTCAAGTGTGTAACGTTTATTATAATTTAATTATAATTCTATTCTTGTGTGTGGCAATATGTTCAGAAGCTAAATGCCAATGTCGAGGTCTGCTTTCCATGGGACGGCTTCAGGACAGCAGGAGACGGTAACCTCCTCGCATTTGGATTGACAAAGGGCTGACAAAAATATAACTAAAATAATCTCTCGTCTGTCTTTGTACCTCATTCCAGATGGTGCTATACTTCGTGATGGACGTTCTTCAGGATTACCCGGGGCTGCCTGGCCTCTTTGTGGCCTGCATCTTCAGCGGGGCTCTCAGGTAGGCATCATGTGATACTGACCATCAGGTAGGCATCATGTGATACTGACCATCAGGTAGGCATCGTGCGATACTGACCATCAGGTAGGCATCGTGCTATACTGACCATCAGGTAGGCATCATGCGATAACGTCCATCAGGTAGGCATCATGCGATACGAACCATTAGGCCAGTGATTCATAACAAGTAATGAGTGTGACATTTCATCTCATAACAAGGTACGCTTGCGATCTAAAATTGTCCGATTCAAAAAGGATGATATTTTTTATTGAAGCATATCTCCAAATAACCCAGAATCCACCTGATCTCGTCAGATCTCAGAAGCTAAGCCGGGTTGTTTCTGGATAGTGCTTGGATGGGTAACCACCATGCATTATGTAGGTGTTATAGACTGGTGCGGTGCTACCTTTGTAAGTAGCAGAGGGCAGTGATACAAAATACATTGTTGTACAATACTGTACTATGCTCTAAAGATCATGCTCCCTGCCTTCACCAACCCGTACTGACCAGAGTGGTGACGTATAGTCAAACAGCTTTCACGACCGATACGGCATGGGGTGACTTTCATCCAGCCCATGGATTGACAAAGGCCTGTACATTATTATTAATATTTGGTCACCTATTTTTTCTGGGGGAGGGGGGGGAAACTGCCTGGATATTTCTCTCTCGCAAAGTTTATTTCCATCTATAACTTTCACCCACTAATCCCCATGTGTTGCAGCACCATCTCGTCGGCATTTAATTCCCTGGCGACGGTGACGATGGCGGACTTTGTGAGGCCGTATTTCCCCAACATGACTGAGAAGAGAGCGACGCTCATCTCCAAAGGCTTAGGTGCGTGAGACGGCGTTTTTCCCCACCTCCGATGTAGCACGGTTGGCTTCGTACGGTGCAAAAGAAGTTCAACATACGTACATGTGATAGATTGCAACCGCACCTCCGATGTAGCACGGTCGGCTGATATGTGCGGTGCGAAAGAAATTCAACATACATACATACATATGCTTGTATGTGGTGACGACCACCCTGTGTTATGCTACTTGGTAGGCTTTTCGCGATCAAGCTGCGCAACTCTCCGTTGTGTTTTTGGGTCGTACCGTGCCTTGTTCGGCACGATGTTACGAGGTTTCGCTCGACGTGCGGGAAGCCACTTCAGGAACTTAAGAAACTGATTAAAAAAAGCTCTGGGCACGTGGAGGGAAACGTCAGGCATCGTGCCAAACAATGTTTGCCACAACCTGAAAGCACGTCGTAGAGCTACACGATGTGTATATTAAATCTAGAGGTAACCTGTTCAATTAATTCTCCTGCTGTGACTCGGCCTCTGTCCACCGAGTAGTATAAATGGGTTGACCACAGCTAGTTAATTGGCAGATCGCATGTGGTGGGGTAAAGTGTGGGTACTGCCACCTTCCAAGATGTATAGTCAGCGCGGCAGAGGAGGCTAACAATACCCTCGAGAGGAGTTCTAGAGGAGAGTTCCCACTTGTGGCCCTTCTGCCAGCAGTGATGTGAACAAGCAATTGCAGGGCTGCACCTTTACCGCGATGCGTTGGTGGGTCATAAGACGTCGTAGACTCCAGTTCATGGTCATGGACCTTCTGTCTGATTTGAGTGTTTAATGAACAAACATGGCTTGTGCAAAACACAAAGACCGCGACGTAAAGTGTTATGCTTACAACTGCACCATTTAATGTGTTTTACGATCATGTGTTTTATGCATGTGTGTCAGCCTGTATGTATGGGCTGGTGTGCCTAGCAATGGCGTTCCTTGCATCACTCATGGGATCTGTCTTGTCGGTAAGTGTCAGCAATTTCAGATACTGGATTGTATGCTTATGTGAGGCAGAAAACAAACACAAATCGGAGACATCATGTTGACTGTTACGTTATTTCAGTGGGGTTGGGGAGAATATATCACGAGGAGGGATGATCATAATAATCATTATGCCAATTTTTATAGCGCTGTACATGGCGAGTCATTACAGGGGCTTAAAAATCATGGCTTGTGAACTCAAAACTAAACTTTTTGGTTATTTACCCAGGTAAGGCCCACTGAGCTATATAGCTCTTTTTCAGAAGCAACCTAGCCACAAATTATAGCTCAACGAAGTAGCTTATCATGTGGACATTTATAGCATCCAAGTACTCTAAATGCATTTTAATTCTAAATGTGGAGGGAAAAACTGGAGGACCTAGAGAAAAATCGACACGACCACGGAAAGAGCATGCAAACTCCAAATATACAGCAGGCTTCAGGGTCGTGATCGAACCCACGACCTGTATATCAGGCGAGGTAGTTAAAATTTCCTAGCCACATTGGTGCCGAAATACAATGCCTGAGAGGATAGCCATTGTGGATAAAGAATCAATGAAATCAGCTCACGAGCAGGTGCAAGATGGATCGTTGTATACATGCAATATGTACCTCTCATTTTCCCGTTTCTCTGTTTCCCTCTGTCCCGTACCCCTCCTACCGCACTCCCCCAGGCCGCCCTCAGTATATTTGGGATGGTGGGGGGCCCTCTGCTCGGGCTCTTCATCGTCGGCATGTTATTCCCATGGACCAACGCCATTGTACGAGCGTAACGCAAACCAAAAACACAAGCCCGCTGGTTATGTCATACCGCGTTAATGTAAATGTTCATCCATACAAAGGTTGTTTAGCGACTCACTTAATGGTTTGTTAATACCTTATATAAAGAGGCCGCTTCATGTTAGGCACGTATGCACCTATGTTTGTATATGTGCACTCCTGCATGCGTATATGGTGGGCATTGCCACAGTCGGGAACGCAGTTTGCTGAATTTACAGCCGCATGGGTTTTGCTTCTAACCTGTTGCACTATGGGCGTCACAGGATGAAGAATCCGTTCGGATTTCTCGCAGAACGAAGGGGCTGCCCCTTCGTTCATGTGGATACCTTAGAGTTATCTCTGAGATCCCTTCAAGGGACCTCCTGGACATCTGTGAAAAAGAGCTTCATAGCTCATTGGATGGATTCCTGCAGTATAAATAAATATTCTGAAATAAATATTCTGATTCTGACCTGCATTATATACAGTAGGGGGCACCACTTTCCCACCCACTCTGCTTCCGAGGATTGTTCATTGCATGCATCCACATCAATGTTTTTCATTGTTAGGGATGAATTAAGTAAAGAAACTAATTTTAACACTATTTGTTCTCATGTGGTGTTGTTGGTAAATGAGTTGAGACCATGAACGCATGACACCCGGGAACCCAGTTGAATCGCAGGCGGCCGCCAAAATTCAAACCAAGGATCCCAGCAATACTGGCTCGGCACTCCGACCTATGAACCAGCTGGCAATCTCGCGAGTTCATTGTCCCTGTGCGTATGTGTTTGTGTGCGTGTGTGCATGCGCTGCTGACGTGGATGGACATTCGCACCTTCTCAGGGTGCAATCTCGGGGCTGGTCGTGAGCCTGCCTTTGGCGCTGTGGCTGGGCATCGGCAGCATCATGTACAACAACGCCAATGCTGGGCCTCCAGCAGGGCCGCCCCCTCAGTGCCTTAACATGTCCGACTTCACCACCGCGGCCACTACCGCCTTCGCCACCACCACCGTCGCCCCCCCTGCGTGCGTGCACACACGTACACACGCACTGGGTTTTTATCCTCACCCTGCAGCAGTAGGCATAGCATTCGAATGTGTGGGTGGGAGCAAAGGGTTTTGCGTCTTAAGAGGAAAACTGAGAAAGATTATAGGAAAAACATATGGTTATTGTTTTTCGTCATTGACATCGTCAGTTTTGTTATCATTGTATCTAATTGTGTTGCTATCGAGTGGGCAGGCAGTACAACTTCACCGGGGCCCATGGGCCATAGGGGCCCAGATATCCGGCCACAAAGAGGAAGAAATGGACAAGGAGGGCTCATTTTCTTTCTTGCATCAGGGCCTATGGCAATCATGACAGCACTGCCCCTGAATCCAGGGGTGGAGAATATTTTCCTACTGAGGGCTGAATCAAACTTTCCAGTATGTTTTGCGGGCCACGCATTAACACACACCACAGCATTATTCAACAGTAACACACGTAATAATTAGGGCTTACCTTTACAGAAGGCACAATGGTCAAACTTCCCAAGTGGGTGGTCCATGAGGGGATGGTCCCAATATTTAAAGCTTTTAAAACAAGGCCCTACATTAATAATTTTTCCTCTGGTTAAATGATGCTATGAAGTCTTTTCTTAGTTTTGTTTTTCGTCATGGAAAATTATCGATTGTCCCGAAAATAACATGAATTGGAAAAGAAATCAACAAAATGTCAATTTTCGGCATCTTAAGGGGGTATCGCCCCCTCCCCATGGTGACTGAGCAAACTAAAATTAGAAACGCGTGTATAAAATATTCCCCTCAATTAGGTGCGGCTAGGTTACTTTCAGAGATGGATAATTATCGTCTAAAGGCCGCACCAACGTGAGCGGTTGCATGTTCCGCAGGCCACAAAGAAGCGAGGTCACGGGCCACGTGGAAGTGAGGTCACGGGCCGGCATCCCCTCCCCCCTACCGTATAGCTGTTATTTTAGGAGATACACCTGAGAAAACATTTCATTCACCATACTAATTTGCACACCACAATTGTAGCTTTTACATTTTTAGGCAGTGGTACAATTTGGCTAGCTTATAACTACAGCAATGATAATAACGCACAACCTTTAGTCATTCCACTGGTGATTAAAAGGCCTTTTTGTTCCGTGTTGGTAATGGGGTCTTTTGAACATACTTCACCATGCTGGTCAGTTGGATTTGGTAAATTGAGGGGAACCTGGCACTGCTTACAGATATCATTTGACACTGATATTATCTGTAACCGGGAATTGAACCGTATCACCGGGTCACCGGGTCCATAGCGCTGGTTACCACCTGCTGCACGACTGTTCTATCATCGTACGAAATTTCGTACTGTGGTATACAATCGGTAGATCTCAAGCGTCTTGAGATGCACTGCTAAGGCAGGACACATCGCGAGAAGGGATGATGGCCAAAGGACGTGACTGGCGACGGAATGGCAGCTCAACGGGAAAATAGGCCCGAGTTGGATCACCAGGAGTGATATGGATTGCGTGTGGCGTCGCAGATCCATGAGGGATATTGACGACACACGGGGGGAGGAAGCCTTCGTCCAGCAGTGGAGTGGTGGCCGTGGCTGTTAACGACGACGCGTAGCGTTCACCGTGTGCATTGTCGTGCTCTCCCGTGTGCAGATTAATGGGACTGGCCAAGTTCTATTCGCTGTCGTACATGTGGTACACTGCTCATAACGCTGCCATCGTGGTCGTCGTTGGGCTCGTCGTCAGCTTCATCACCGGTATGACTTTGCACAGACCGTGACCTCATATCGTACGGCCTGCATATGGAATGATGTCATAAGCAGGGGGGGATGGGGTGGAAATTTAAGAACCTTGTCCATTGTTTAACGTGCCAAGACAGGAGAACGACCTGGTGACCTTCAGATTCATGCAGATTCACTTGGTTAGAAATTACCAATTACACCTCGGCCATGAGGCTCTGGTCTTCTTTGATTATTCATGAAAGAACGTCACTTCCGAAAACCTCTCTTCTGGCATGACAGAAATTATGTCGTTCACATTATTCATTAATTCCAAGTAATACTTCTCAGAACACAGAGTCGAGAGCTGACTATATATAGTGCATTCAAATTTAAAGCATCCAAATTAGACATGCATGCCATTATACAGCTTGTCCTTAAGCTACCGAGCAAATTGATGTTAATTATATAACGATATGGATGCTAATTATGCAGTGGTATGATTAAAGAGGCTGGCGATTATCCTGAATGGCATTTAAAGGACATTGATTGTTATTTCGCAGCTGCTGCTGTTGCTGCTGTCGCTTGTAGTGTTTGTTGACAAAGCAGAGTGTGTGATTGTAAGCTGTGGCGATGAGAATTACATCACGCACCACGGTAAGAGCGACCTTTTGAAGGAGGATGCATGCTCTGCTGCAGGCTATACCAAGGGGCGAGATGTAGACCCTCGCACCATCTTCCCAATCATGGATTACCTGCTCTTCTTCCTTCCCCGGAGATATCGGCAGAAGCTCCACTGTGGCGTCCGGTTTGATGAGATGGTGAGGATGCGTTTTTTTTTTTTAAACGTACCGAAGCCACCCTTCTCACGAAATTCTATCTACTCGTAAAACAACAGATTGTCAGACGTGCGATTCGATGCGCGTGTATTGCGAGCATAAGAATAGACTCTGATGTTGCTTCCCTCTTCCTCAATTCCCTGTATCTATATTTCCCCCCTCCAGTCTTGAGATGCTATCTATATAGTTTGACGTTGTTGTTGATAAATTGGTATGCCTCTGCTCATGGGGAAACCTTTCTCTAGTGTCCAAAGTTAAAAAAAATTGGAAATCAGTCCATCGACTTAAGCAAAAGGTAAAGGTGCAACCCTGTAATTGCCTTCTCGCACCACTGCTGCCAGAATGACCTCCACTCATGGCAGCTCAAGGAAGCTCCTCTAGAGGGGTATCTGGGTTAGTTTTCCAGGTTGGCCAAACGTATTCGAAGAAGACGGGAGTATATCCACACTTTACCCCACCACACACAACCTGCCAAATAACTAACACTTGTCGTACCCGCTTACGCTGCTGGGTGGATAGAGGCATGGGTGGTTTATTAAACTAGCAGCATTGTTTCAACCGCCATGTGAGGGAAATAGACTCTAACTGTGGCGAACTGTGGATTATAAGTCCTTGTGCTTTAACCTTTACACCACGGTAATCAAACTGAATGTGAAATCTTTCGTTTTCTTCCTCAACGTCAGTTTCGAGGTGTTTCACTGTTGGCCAAATATTTGTCACAGAGTAGCATCTTGACGGTGAATACGCTGTGATTAATAATAGAGCACTTGTCTTAGGAACATAAATGTGAGTTGATGCAGAGCTGAGGCGGGCATTAACCCGCCTCAGCTCTGGATATACAAATACAAACGAGCACAGCAATATGCACGCTAATCCTGTGAGCGCTGACACATGCTATACGCAAGTTGCATTTTTTTATTATTATTGCACTAATACTGGGAGACCTTGGATATATTCTGTTATGTGCTGTACCGTATCTAGTGGATTATTCATATTCAATTAAAACAATAAATGGCTGTATTGCACGTGAAAAAGTTTTATGTTACTCTGAGCTAGGCGCTTTACTGGAGATGTAATTTCTAGCTGAGGTCATATTTTTATATGACTGTAGTCTCTGGATTATAAGATGCAAATCCCCCACCCCCACCGTATTTTAAAGAAAATGTTGGGTCGTGCGGCATATATTTATATATGATTGTAATTAAGTAGGTGTGTGTGTGTGATAAGATTTGTATAACTGTATAGACACGGGGCACAAGATTGGGGTCAATCTTTATTTCCAGAGCGTCTAGATTTTTGTTGTATCACACTTTAATTATGACGTCTTTTTACTTTCCCTTTTCACTTGAGATTAGTGCAGGGTCCACTCAGTGGTAATTTTAACGAGGCGGCGGTTAATCACATTTTTCATTAACAGTTGGGTAGCGACATAATCGGTGTGCACCCAATTCACAGATGTCCCCGACTGGACGTCTGTTAAAAAGAGCTTTATAGCTCATCGGATTTCTCCAGAAAAAATATTATAATTCTGATCGGCTCTCACAATGTTGACAGATTAAATCTGACCACCGTTTGTTTTGAATTCAACCATGAAGATTAACAGCAACTAACCTGCAAATAAATGCTGACTTTGCCCTTCTAAGTTCATTTATGCACATCGTCCTCATAAAATACATATTGGCGTTATCTATCCAATGTGTTCTTATGACCGTCCTTAAAATTCAACAGACGTATTAACTGTTATCTAATAAAACCTTCATCGTCATGTTTGCTTCTAACCACTTGGCATTTTGGGCCTTTAGGGTCTGTGCGCGGCAACTGTCATATATAAAGAAAAGAAATTCAGCATTCTATGCCTTGCGTGGCGGACTCTTGCACGAAAAAATTATGAAAAGTTATCACCAGATTTGGCAGTAAAGTAGGTTGGCGGTGGCTCACATTACGTACTTGCGGTTTTTTTTTTTAGCTGCACAGAATTACATTTTGGCCATCTCTGCTAATGCCTAGAATGCCCCCCACAGCAGGACCCGAGTACTGTAAATCTCTCTTTTTATGCATTACCTGAATAGTCTCCAATGTTAGGATTATCCAAAATGCTGCTGTTAAGCTTCTTACACACATTGGTAGCAGGGACTATGATGTCGCTGGTCGTCAAGTCCCTCAACTGACTTTTCAATCCCCACAAAATGTTTGGGATTTCACGACCAAAACCTTCGCACCTGATTGGTTCTCAAGTGAAGACATCACATTTATCCCTCTATTTAAGCCCGAAACAGCAGGATTTCTCCACAACTCTGGCTGTCATTTGATGATGCTAGTTGTAATCACTGGTTTATTCTACAAGGCACCGGTGTGCTGTACTAGCAACAAATTGGCATGTTTTGTTTCCGTGACAAACCATACTAATTGCCTGTGTCGGGTGGTGGCAGTTTTAACGACACATTTATATTTGCGCGATCCAACCCAAAAACCTCTTATGGATACAAAATGTCTCCTCTCCACCTAGAATAAAGCGTACATTGGTAAGTCACTCTCGTGAAATGACGCGGCCGAGTATTAGTACCATTGTCACTTGTTGCAGAGTTTTTGTGGTTCCAGCCCAGTGGCCCCAACTGGTCAATAGCGCGAGTGTGTTATGCGTAAATGCATACCTTCTGCTAAACAGTGGGCGTTAAAGATCTCCGTGGTGGTATATTTGTGTTTAAATGTAGGTGTGCCGTGTCATATTGTTCAAATTTGATAGGTTAAAAAAAAATGTCTGTACTGTCAAATTACTACTTGGGTAAAGTAACATTGCAACTTAGCCCCCTAATGTGAAACGTCTGCAGGCTGTAGTCGTCTGTAAATCAGAATCAAGATATAAAGCTCTTTTTCACAGACGTCCACTAGGGGCGGGGTCAGTACGTTACAACAACAAACCATACAAAACACGATCGTAGTGCAAAGTCTCGGAAAGGTGAGAAAATAAAAAATAAAAATCGGAGCACCGTCATGACAGTCTTGCGCAATATGACTGGCGCCAATACCAAATTTGATCATGAATTGAATTTTTAAAAAATTGTGAAAAAATACGAATGCACATATAAGAACTTGTTTGCTTGAATACTTAGGGTCTGAGTTTTGAAAGGCTGTAAAAATGGACGTTTCATTTTTTTTGTGCAGAAAATCGAAGATTCAACTGTTGCCGTGACAGAGGATGAACACAAATATGAAGATGGGAAGTACTCGGGCACCACCACTGAGGATGGATACAACATTGTAAAAGATAGCTCTGAAAATAGTTCCGTCATAAATGGACACATGAAAGTAAAACCTGGTCACGTTACCATGGAAACACACATGTGATGTCAATGGGTACTTGGAGAACTGGACTCTGGCCCAATGGGCCTTGGCCTTCAAAGTCATCTGCACTGACTCAAACTTTTTACTGGAAAGAGTAATACACTGCTATTGAATAAGCTTTTAAGCCTGCGTTCATAAACTGTTATGTCATGGTTTGAAATATAATGAAACGGATGATATCTTTGCAAGTGAACAAGATATAGGTGAAAAGGAATCTTGTATTTAAAGCAAGCAGGTTTCAAGTGTTAAAAGCTGAGATCTGCCAGAGAATGGAGAAATGTTTCTGAAATTAAAATGTTCCTTTTATCAGTATGAAAAAATATTTTTGGGAAATGGTACCTCAACCTATAATCGAACAAGTTGCCAGCTTTTAAGAAAGTCAAGCTATCTCTTGAAAACAGTAATATATTAAGTCTTCCATTTTTTGGGGGTAATTATTTGACACTTGTATAATTTACTCAGCATTTTTGTTGTCGCAAAAATTACGTTGCTTGTGACAAACCAGCACAACATAAGCTCGCTCGTGTGTATTCGGATTGCACCACGTGTTATTCGGAATGATGTCCGACGTTTCGCTCCATGTCCTGGGTGTTTCTTGAAAAATTTAATATCAGCTCCTGAGCAACACACGGAACAGCCGTTCAACGCATTGGAGTATTAACCAGTCTCCGTTTCCCTGCTGCAAAAGGTCTCGCACATGAGCGCTTGTGCTTGATTGCATTGGCCAATGTGAAAATTGACAAAAGGAGACTTTGCTGAGTTGCATTGGTGGTGCAACTGTTTTCGGGTGTGAACCCAATTGGCTGGGTGACTGAAAGCCGTCCTTTTTCCGCGAGATATCCCATGAGAATAGAACGGGTTGCTTGACTCAATTGCGAGTGATATAATTGATCAGCACAAGCTATCGACAATCATGTGAAACCAGTTGCCTGACACTAATCATGGGCCAAAAACGAACAACTATGAATGCATTTATGCAATAATCAAGTCTCATTCCCTGTTGTGTTGTTGGGTTGTATTATGGATGGTTACAATCGAGGAAGTTAGTGGCTCAATTTGGATCCTGAAGACACTTTCAAGACATCGGACATTATGCCAAACAACACGTGGTACAACCTGAAAACGCACTTGATAGCCGCATGTTACAACCGCACAAACCTACACAGTAGAAGCAAGTATTGTATTATGGAACTGAACAGTGCCGGATTTAGCTAGTGCGGGGCCTGTAGCATATGTTTTAAAGGGGTCCTAAATATAAAAAACCACATTCAAACGCATGTTTAACTTGCACAGTAAAGTAATTGTATTTTTTCATTTGCTATACAGCCAAATAATACGACAAATCGCTAACCTGAAACACCCAGTCGTTCATAAAAAGTTGAAGGCGGTATAGTACTATAGTAATAGAGCAAGTGCAGAATCACTGAACCAGAATTGATAGCTTAAAAGCATTTAGCGCGGAGCCCTTGAAAGTGCTGGGCCCGTAGCATCTGCTACTTTTGCGACTAGGATAATCCGGCACTGCAATTGAATGACCAGTGGCCTTTAGGAGAGATGTGACACAATCACTGAAGATTGTGTTGTGGCCTTGTATGTATGGTGGTTCATTCACGTTCCTGGTTTCCAGGGCCGCATTAACGCACAGGCCGTAGGGCCTCAGATTTTGGGTGGGGTCCCAAAAAGCCTACTTTGCTTCATAACGGTTGTAATGGCAGAAACGCAACACGTACTGCAGAGCTGTGATGAACCCTGTAAGTAATTTGGGCATTAAAACCATAGCATCACTTCTGTGTATTACTGCAGGACAAATAATTGGGTGCGTTTTACTTTTTATTTTATTTACCCTTACAATTCGTACATTAAAGTAAAAACAAAATAGAACTGAAATAATAATGAAGTGTTGTCGTCGTCCATGGGTGGTAGTAAAACGGTAAAGGGGAAGCAATTGAATGTGCAGAGAAGGCCCCTCGAAAATTGACAGCTCTGGGCCTGCATCAAACTTTAATTTGACCCTGGTCATCTGCGGGAGGCATTCATCCATGGCTGATGATGATGATGGTTTTGTGTTGCAATAGCCAGATGACAGTGCCTGCTATGTGACTTGTGTACAATGTATTTTCCTTGTAAGAAAAAAACATTGAGGTGGATCGATGGTGGGTGTGCACTTAAAGGGGCATGATTTGGTTAATGTTTTTTTACGAATTTAAAAATGAAACATTGTGGTTTACAGGGACCCTTTTTGAATAATATATTATCCAATTGTAAACATGACAGGAATAATATTGCAAGTTTGCAATAAAAATGGTACAGGATGTATTTGTAGCAGTTTTAGATAATTAAAAACTTAGACTTTGTTGTGTGATTACATTTTTTTACGATTTTGGCAAAACAAGTGATGTTGAATTTCGATTTAAAGCTTTCGTGACTGCAGGGATTCATCTTCTTGGTTCTTTCGGTAAAGTCACGTAGAAGGGAAGTAATTTTATTTTATTATGTTTTATTTTATTATTATTTTATTACTTCCCTTCTACGTGACTTTACCGAAAGAACCAAGAAGAAGTGATGTTGATTGTGGTATTTAATTCCTTTTTAATAAATTATTGTCTGCTAAATACTCATTGTTTAATAAATGTTTCATTTGACCCATGACCAAATCACCAGATTTCTCCCGATCTCATCATTAGATCTCGGCTAAGCTGGGATAGATGCTGCTTGGATGCATGTTTGTAAAACTTATTTTGCGCCGTACGTAGTCTTCCGTGCTACTTGATGGGTGACCACCATGCATGTCACGTTGTCATGGGCTGCCTTTGGGGTAGACAGCACAGAGAGTAAGTGGAGCAAAAATTAATTGTACAGGTTAGTCCAGATTTAATTAAACTTTAAAAAATACACATTCAGTTTTAGAGAATTAAATGTGGGGGGGGGGGGGGTCACAGGACATCTGTTTGACCACCCTGTACAGCATTGCACTTCTCCTTTGCCACGTAGGCCCTGCCCGGCTTCAACCCAGCGCTGAGCAGCAGCGCGGTCAAGTATGGTTAAATAACTCGCACGGCGTGGGGATCCCCTAATCCAGCAGCGGAGTGGCAAAAATATATTTACGTGTACAAAAAAGCTTTTATGTTCTTTATAATTATCTCTATGTAAACAAAAAAAAATCACAAGTACTGTATTGTACGTGTGTCCATAGGGGCCGTCCATAAATGACGTCACGCGATTTTTGACTTTTTGACCCCCACCCCCCTCGTCACATGGCGTCACAAAGCTTTGCCCCCCCCCCCCCCCAAAATTAAACATGCTTCAAATCGCTTTAAACTATTGTCATTGTAGTGCGTATTTAATGTGGCGCTGCACTCTGATGTTGTAGGAGACAACACTTATTAAAAAGTCGATTTAATGAAGTAGAACGTGTTGTCTATATTTATTTAAAGTTGCGCATTTTAATGTGACGTCACATTTCTCAACCCCCCCCCCCCCCCCATCGTCACAGAAATGTCTGACCCCCCCCCCTAGGTGCGTGACGTCATTTATGGACGGCCCCAAGAGGGTTTGTGCGATGTACGCCCGTACACCGTAGGGTAAAGAAGCACGGTAGGCCGATACCCACAAGACTACAACGAGGCTTGTGCTCTGCCTCTTACCTCTGGACGATAAATTTGCCGAGTTGATTCGCCCACCTTGGACGATGGCCAAAGGTTATCGCGAGCACTCGTGGAGTCAGCGCTACGGGGAGACGAGAAATACGGCCGGGGACATCCCTCGCCACTCATCCCAACTTTGCTCGCTCAGATGCTGCTGCTTTTAGCCACTGGGACGGCACGGGAAGTGGAGTGGTTTAAAGGGTTTCAACAATGAGGCCCTCCCTGTAATGGGGATTGAGGCAATTTAGGCGCATTGGTGGCTTCATCAATAATGGTCCCAGAAATCGTCTGGTTTCAGCCATCGAACATTTGTGTATGCACCATATGTTAAACTTATTTCGCGCCTCACGTAGCCAACCGTGCTAATCGGAGGCGCATGCATTGCCCACTGCCTGTATGCGAGGATTGTTTCTTTGTGTGCAAAAACAAATACACTGTGTGGACATTCTGTTCATTTATTGTGTTGCGTATATTGTCTACGAGGAGGCCAATTGTTATTGCTTGTTAGATATGATATGTTTGAGTCCAACCATTGCCCACGTGTGCGTCCTTGCCTATTTCAGCAAGTTTGACTGCCCATGACACGGAGAATGAATGTCACCACCAGGCCAGACTTTGAGCTTGCGTTAAAGCGGTGCTGTTGAAAAACAACTGTGTGGCATTATCGGATGCGTTAAACCATTTTTTTTATATTTAAAAATAGAATGTGACCATGCAAGTAATGATAAGGTGTGTGTACATTATGATTGTCTGTTCAATAGCTTTGTTTATTTGCGTAGATTTAATGGCACGCAAAGGAGTGCTGCTCACCGACGGCAGGAAGGCACCACTCCCATCATCATCATCTTGTCTTGCTGGATGCATGTCATGTAACTACCAAAGCATTGCGCATGCTTGCAATGCCCTCAGTCTTGTGCCTGTTCCCAGCCTGCACGCGCTCTCCTGTTGTGACGGGCTTTCTCATAATTTACAGAGAGTTTTGGGTATAGTTTATTCGTGCCTGTGGGGGTTTACGCATCTCTGACCGTGATGAGCGGTGGCGCAGCGGTTAGCGCGCATTGCTACGAACCCGGCGACCGGGTTCCATTCCCGCTCACTGCGAACACCGTTGATGGATTATCTGAACCGGTCCTGGGCCCTCCCCTAGGTCGACTCAACCTCAAAAGAAAACCTGGTGCGGTGTTTATAAACATTGCCACTGGGGAGACAAAGGCGGCCGGTCCTGCTGCTGGCCACATTCACCCGCTCGTGAGCCGAGGCGGCCTTCATTATGTGCTCTCGCTAACAGCACTTGCCCAACAAAGGTCTGTTGAGCCTGTACGGGGGATCTTTGTCTTTGCGTCTGATTGTGTGTGCGCGTGCCGGTGTCCCCTGTGTGTTTATAATTTGGGAGTTGCGTGCGGCGGGGTGCGTCACAAAGTGCAACCGCTTTTCCGAGTGGGCCCTCTAAGCCAGATTTCCTCTCTATTTAAAGCAACCCAGGTCGCTGTGAGGAGGATAATTGTTTAAAGACTTCAAAGCCGTGACCCAACAGAGCTTGCATATATGTCGTGTACGTGTAACCCCCCCCCTCCCCAGCAGTCATCGACAAAACGATGAGATTTCCAAAAAGCGTTGGGCTATACCAAATGTCATCTTCTTGGTTCTTTCGGTAAAGTCACGTAGAAGGGAAGTAATAAAATAATAAAAATAAAACATAATAAAATTTATAAAACATAATAAAACATTAAAAAATTATAATTTTATTATGTTTTATTAAAATTATAATTTTATTATGTTTTATTTTTTTTATTTTATTACTTCCCTTCTACGTGACTTTACCGAAAGAACCAAGATGAATCCCTGCAGTCACGAAAGCTTTAAATCAAAATCTATACCAAATGTTTAGTTTTATTTATTCGCGACTTTGAAATATACGTTATACAGGATATGATGTGCACCAAGAATGTGGTTTGCTATGATGCCAAATACCTTCATTAGGCAGCAGGTCGGATACAATTCTGTAGCCAGGTAGTAATAAAAACATCCCGGGGTGGTCCAGCTGTCTTGTGACCCCCCCCCCCCCCCCCCAATTAATTGACCCCTCACATTTTCCCCCTTTGTGTATTCATTTATGTTTTAAATAAACCATACTTGAGCAAATATTAAGTGCTATATAATTGAATTGGACAATGCAATGGGGACGGGGGCGGGGTCACAAGACATTTGGACCACCCTGTACATAAAACAGGTAAAGGTGCAACCCTACAATTGCTTGCTCTTGCCACTGCTGGCCGAAGAGGTTCTCCAGCAAATGAAGTCGTTCCGCTGCTGCACGCGCCCGATGCTCGTTAAACACGTGCCACGTGACGCGCTAAGCCAATTGACGCTGCCCGCGTCGCGTTGTATGTAACACGTGTCCAATGAGAACTCGATGAATTTGAATCGGCTCTGTTAACGCTGACCGCGTGACTCCGTGCGAGGAGCGCGATGCGATAGAGATGTTGTATGTTGAGATGAAAGAAGGGACGAAATTAGATTTTAGTCGAAGAGTTTATTCGGACAAAGCCGAAGAGATGATCGAGATCACGAAAGAGATGATAGAAGTTGTATTTGGGCGGGGTAGTGAGAGAGATGTATTCAGATTGGATGGAAGGAATAGGAAATATTAATCAGACGAACTATAAGACATACAGGGTGTGAATTTTAACAGTATACCCAAGTAATATTTATCAAATGTTACCCGGGAATACTTTTAAAAGTCACACCATGCCGAATAGAGATATATACAGTAGGCATTCTTTGCATGCAGGACAAGGAATCTAACTGAATTATTGACACTGGTGGAAACTATTTAGGTTAATAAACTTGATAACAGTTTAGATAAAATACTTAAAGTAACTATCCTGATTCCTCTTGTTATGTTGACTCTAAGCCGTGATCTTAATTTGAAGTCTAAATCGGGTACAATTACACATTGTATTTGTAGCTCAATTTTAGGATAGGCGTCGGAGAGTTGAGACTCATTACCGTTAAAAGATTGACATGCACCACCTAGTGTGGATGAGGGGCATTGGGAGGCACCTCGTGAGTAGTTCTGTGGTATCCCCTTCCAAGAGGTCACTGTCTCATCGGGGGCGACGCGCTGCTTATGCGTTTGTATTATTTGGCTGATATAAATTTCCCCATAAGCCACTGCGTTGAGCTGTCATTTGTGGCTAGGTTGTTTGTGAAAAAGAGCTATACAGCTTCTTGGTTCTTTCGGTAAATTCACGTAGAAGGGAAGTAATAAAATAATAAAAATAAAACATAATAAAATAATTCTCACGACGTTTCGGCCACAACGCAAGCAGCCGTCCTCAGGTGAAACCAGGTCTGTCGAGGCGACAGCGTCTGAATGAAACAGCACACGTGCTTGGAGCATGTATATAAGCTGGGTTGGAAGGGGGGGGGAAGGGGGGCGCCTTGACAAAAGAATTTGCATATCAAGAGGAATTTAGCATATTTATGGGAAATGCAGGTATGTGATTAGTACTACTTGTGTCCGTGCATTATGCAGGATTAGCAGCATCCAAGGGAGGGGATATGGGAATTGCAGGTATGTGATTAGTGCTACTTTGCCCGTGCATGATGCAGGATTAGCAGCATCACAGGGAGGGGATAGGGGTAGCATTAATAAAGGGAAGAAGTGTTAATAGTATGTAGCTGCAGTAACTAAAACCACCACGTAAACAACTAAAGTATAAACTACATAGTATCATCATTATAACATTACAACATTATACTAAATATACAGCTCAGTGGGCTTTACCTGTTAAATAAAATAGTTTCATTTAGTCGCTTTCTGCCGGAGTTTCCAAGAT